TTTATTAAACATGCTCGGTGCAAATCAGATGGGAGGAGGTATTTCCAATAAGCAAATCTCCCTGTGTAAAGGGGTCAATGTCATATGCCGTGAAAACTAGGAGCCGTGTAGGGACATGTAAATCGATTTTCAATTAATTGAGTTTTCTAAAATGAATGGATTTAAAAATCATCATATTTTTGAAAAAAATTTAATATTTTTGGCATATCAATGTTCACAAGTGCTAATGCAACTACCTGTATTCTTCTAACAAGGATCATGCCCACAATAATGTACAAAAATCGATCTTCTCATAATTTCGAAGACCGATAAAACGATGAAAGGTTCAGTACTGGGTAAAATGAAAAAACTGGAACCAGACTGCTGTCATTTCTAAGCCACTCGTCCCACAGCTGTTAAAATTATTTCAGAGACAGCTCATTATATTGTTTACAAGCGAACAAAAGCATTTACGTGAGAATTTTCCAGAAAAACAGTTGTTGGATCAGGATAGTGTGATTTCTTTATATTTGATTTCTTTAGTGACTACCGTTAGAGCACTCCAGCATTTAAATGTGAATACATCTTTTGCGTCTCGTACCATCGCTCGTTACCGTGAGACTGGTAGCATAGCCCGACGTTAGGGAGGTGGAGAAAACAGCAACATCAGCAGAAATAGTTCGAAAAGTAAAGAAGCGACTTGATCGAAAACCGCTTCGCAGTGGCGCAATATTGCATTCGGCAAATATTGAAGAATGAGCTCGGGGTAAAGCCATTGAAATTCCAAAAAGTGCAAGAACTTACACCGCAACAGAAAGAAAATAGACTCAATAGAGCTAAAGAGCTGCTTCGCTTGGCCGAAAGTGGTGAACTGCCGAATTTAGTTTTTTTTTGCGATGAGAAAACATTCGTTGTCTAGCAGTTTATAAACAAAAAAAAATGATCGTGTTTACTTGCCAAAGAGGTCAGCTGAAAATGTTCATCTTCTTTTGGCCACCAGAACTCAAGCGCCGGCCACGGTAATGATGTGGGCCGCCATAACAGCCAATGGTCGCTCTCCGCTCGTATTAATCGACCGTGGCATCATAATAAATGCCGAATATTATCGCAAAATATTCTGGAGGGTGTATTAAAGCCTTGGCTACGCAAACATTTTTGCCGCAGACCTTAAACATTCCAACAGGACTCAGCACGCGCCACCAAAGAATGGTTACAAAATGATATTCCTCACTTCACTTCCAGCGCAAAATCGCCACAAAAATCTCCAGATACCAATCCGTTGGACTATTGTGTCTGGAGTGTTTTGGAAAGCAAGGTTGGCAATAAAAAATACCAAAGTGTCGATCACCTCAAGCAAGCGCTTCGCCGGGAATGGGCCAAAATACCGCAGAGCAACATTCGGGCAGCGTGTGACGGTTTCATTGGCCGTTTAAAAGCCATAATTCGTGCCAAAGGTGACAAAATCGAACAAATCTAAACTTATCCTAAAATTTACGCTATTTCCGACATTTTTTGCTTTAATTCAATAAAATTTAAAAAAAAAATAAAAATTATGGCTTCTGACTTTGTTGCAGTTTTTTTCATTTCACCCTGGATTCAAAATGTTGGCCCTTTGTGGGGGAAGTATTTGATGGATTGGACCAATTTTGTCCATTTTCGCACTGACCTAGCACTGATGCAAATATTAGGATTTTCAAAGTTGGAGCTAGAAAATATATTTTGTTGTTGCAAAAGGCTTAATCCCTTCGTTGTTGTTTTTATAAAAACAACGTTTTTTATTGGTGGATAACGACGGTAATGTTTACCTTTTGTGGGGAAAATATGTAATAATAAATGTGGACCGATGTACTCCATCTTAGCACCAGATCTTGGGTTTATAAAAATATTGGGGTGTGTGAAATTTGAAGACAATCGGACTTTTACATTACATTTTATAAGAGTTGTAATTATTCAATATTTTGACCCTTTGTGAGGTAGGTACTTTATGGAGTGGACCGATATTGTCCATTTTTGTACCTGACCTAGCACTGACGCAAATATTAGGATTTGCAAAGTTGGTGCAAAATCGGTTTATCCTTTCTCTTTCTGTGACAAAAATATATTTTTTGAAAATTTCGAACTTTTGTGGGAGAAGTACTAGAAGGTCGATATTGCCCATCTCCGAACTCGATCTACCAAGTTTGAACCAAATCGGATACTCCCTTCAAAGAGTAATCGTGCGCACCAGCCAGTCAGACAGACAGACGGACATCGCTAGATCGACTCCAAATGTCCTAAAACGGATTTTGTCCAAAGAGACTTAGGGTCTAAACAAATTATTTCGACCAGGCACTTTTTGACCGTATCAAATGATATATACCCTCTCTAGCCATATGGCTGAGGGTATAAATAAAATTCGTTATAAATTCTGTTAAAATTTAAAAAAAAAAAACACCGTATATAGGGAGTTACAGTTATTTTTGGGTCTAAGATGTGAACCTGCAGTTTTCTGTCACAGGCTTTAATACCCATTATGAAGTGCAAATATGAAATTTTAACAATTCCGGTGAATAATGTAGCTAAAATCATCAAAATACCGAATATAGGGTGGTACCGTCAAAGACCTAAAATGTTAAAGACTAAACAAAATGCATTTTGAGAAAATGGTTTGTATCTACAATACGTAGTGTAACAGCTCATGGAAAAGACATGTTAATTTAATAACCACAATTACAGAAACGAAAACCTGATATAAGTTGGAAAAATCTAAAATTTTGGTTTACAAATTCTATTTTATAGACTTTTTCAAAAATGGGCATATTGCCTTAGCGGTTTAAATCAGTGAACATTTGTAACAATGTTGTTATGATATCGTAACAAAAGAGGTATTTCCACAATGTTGCCATATTTTGACTCTGCCTTGTCCTATCTTTACATTTCTATGAATTTGGTTATATGGGGATATATGAAGACTTGGACCTGCTTAACCAACCAATTTTCTGTCATAGGCTGTAGTACTCATTACGAACTATCATAACGAAATTTGAAACAATTCTGGTGAACAATGTCGTCAAAAACAACAAAATACCGAATATAGTTACATGGGGGCTATACCTAAACGTGGACCTATATAGCCCATTTTCAATACCTAAAGTCCTGCAGACCAAACACGCATTTGAGTAAATTCTAACATGTATATTTAGAGATGCTAAAAACAGAATGATGGACTTAATATACCCTCCATACCAAGATGGAGGGTATAAAAAATGAGACATGCCCTCCAACATTGTAGTGTCGGGAGCAACCGCGTGATACACATTTACTTTAAGATAGCACTAATTGATCAATTATAGTAAAGCAAGACGCTGAAAAGAAACCTAAGCGAAAAAATGAGTGCTCAATATAGGTCCGGCAATTATTTCTATAACTCGTTTCTGCCGGATCTTGGGACAATTCCTCACAAATACTGTCATTCCCAGGAGGTCATGTCTTCGGTCCGAAACGTACCGTACTGGTTTCTCAGCACATTTACGCTAGTTTGTTTTTTTGCGTGTGCCTCGCTTCTTTACCCGTACTCTTGATTTTGAGCGTACTCTTGCAATATAAATATAGTCAGGCAGAAGATGCGCCGACGTTCCTATCTTTTCCGATTTTCTTATATATGAGAACAGTTTTTTATAGTCAGACAGAGGGCGGACTATAAAGCTTCTAATTTTTTTCTGTTTCTTGGTTTTGGAACAAAACAGATTCCAAAAATAACAAGTAAAAAAGCCGGTAAGTTCCGGGACGAACGTGGTCCTGCACAAGTAATTTGTGTCATAGGCTGTAGTAACTTTTTCGAACTTTATATACGAAATTTAAAACAATTCCGGTGAATAATGACGCAAAACTCATGAAAATATCTGGGGTTACCGTTATAGGGGCGTTATACTAAAACGTGGAAAGTACTCAGAAGGAACCCCTTGTGTGGTTTTTAAGACAATGCCATTAAAAAAATTGGCCGTTATATGGCGGCTATACAATATCGTGGACCTATATAGACAATTTTCTTCTAGGGGATAAAGTACTCACAAGGAACCCCTTGTGCGGATTTTAAGATAATTCCATTAAAAAATTGGCTGAAATCATCAAAATACCGAATATTGGGGGTACCGTTATATGGGGGCTATGCGATGTCGTCTAAGAATTTTACGCTGATCAAGAATATATATACTTTGGTGGGTCTAAAATTATTATTTCGATGAGTTACAAACGGAATAACGAACTTATGACATCCTCCATACTATGTATGGTGGAGGGTGCAACAAATTATCAAATCTGCCTATCGTCTGTCCCTGAAGCTTTCCTTAAAAATCGAAATTTATTGCGATCAAACTTAGGTATGGAAGTAAAAGCTCGACTTTAGTTGTCTGAGGAAGTCAAATGGCCCAAAAGACAACTTTATATGCAACCGCATAGCTAACCCCAGAACGACCTATTGCATTATAAGAAATCAGAAAGAACTCTTCGCATTTTAAGTGTTTCCAGCTAGCTCCTTTTGCTATTTCTCTATGTATACAGTCGAATGTGACTACTATGATTATAGAGTAATAGGTGGCCGGAAATGTTTGCCCATCAACCGAGAAATTCAATTGCAATCTCATCCTTGGGAACATAAATGTATTCAAAACATATATATAAATTCTTGCAAAGAAAAGTCGCTCTGGATTCTTACATCTTCTAAGGGGGTCTGATATTTCGTCAACGAAATGCATTTTAATTCCTAAACATACATAATTTTTTGCCTATAACTATAATTATTTCTTTTTTTCTTCGCGGCTCAGCAAAGACGCTCGTGTGGAGATCCGAAACTCCAGACCTCATCTTTGCCTCCCTTCTGTTTTACATTTTCATTTGAATTTCATTTAGCATAACTACTTGTTGTCCTCTTGCAATATCCTTGTTTTTCATATCTAACTACCGCACAATAGCTGTCTATCTTTGACAGATTTATTTCATTTGAGAATTTGTTTTCCTAAAAAAAGGGTTATCATTTTGTTTAAAAAAAAAATCTTCCATTTCCTCACTTAGTTAATACTCAATTCTTTGGCACCAATACAATGATACTATTCTAGTTCCATCATTTCACAACACAATCTTCTAGGCTATCATCTGCACGTATGTATGCTCCGTATCCATGTTTGTAAATTTAGCTGAATTAAATTTAAGGATTTGCCTGTGAAGGTCCAACTGCTCCAACGGGACTAATGCCACCTTCACTGCCCGAAGCATTGTTGGGTGTCAACTGGCCGCTGGCCTGTATGGGACTAGTTATGCCCAATGACTTTGGGCTGGCCAATTCATGTTCATTCTTGGCCTGTTTCAGCCAATTGCGTATGTCTCGCGTCCTCTCCACCAAACTGTTGGTGTAATTTATGGCCTTGGGATTTTGAGAGGCAATCGTTTTCGCCGCCATAATGGAATTCTGTAGACGATCAATGGTTGAGGTATTGCCGGAGCTTAGTTGTCTTAAAGTTTCCCGGCGATCTGGAAAAGGAAAAAAATACAACTCATTACTTTTTTAACTCTTTGCCATTTTCCATTCCCCCATTACCTGGTGTTGGACTCAGGGCTGTGCCAGCAGAACCCATCATATGGGACCAATTCAATTCTGCAGGCTGTATCATGGGTATATTCAAACCTGCTGGATAGAAAACCAAAAATTTTTGCTCAAATTCTGTAACTCTCTCTGTTTCCTCTCCCTCTCACCTGTTGGCTGTCCACCCCTGCCCAGCAAATCCAAAATCTCCCGGATCTCAGCATTCAAAATCTCCAAATTCTTAATGCACTCATTCGACTCGAGGCTATGAAATTCGCGACGCTTATTCAAGTTCTGGGTATCGCCGCTGGCCAAATCGGTACTACTAAAACCGGAGCTAGACTGAGACGACAAATCACTCAAAGTTGCATCTTCTTTTGCCGGCTCAACACTCAACAAGTCCAGCGATGCCTTGTTGCCGGCTTTGTCGCAAATACGCATTACGCTCTGTTCCAGATGACGCAGACGTATCACCTTCTCGCCCAACAAGGCACGTGTCCTGTGCAGTGTCACCTCCATTTCGGTGAGGTCTTTCTCTTCCTGTATCAATTGTTCCAGACTGTGTCGGGTGGCCTGATTGTTGTGCCTTTGCTTGATTTCTCGCTGTCTAGCTCTAAAGGTAGTTCTTTGCGAACGCAACGACTCCTTAGCTCGGCGTACCGAATCCCTTTCGAGATGGATGCGATGTTTGAAGAATTCCAGCTCCGAACTGGAGCCGGCCGCGTAGTCGGCATTCGATATGTCCGAGAAGGGATAACGCAGATGGTATGTCGTCTCAAGGGCATTGTCGGGTAGTTGGTCTTCCAAGTCTTCGAGTTTCTGCAGTTGATGGCGTAAATTCTCGACTGGGGTGCAGGGTCGTTCGTTCTTCGCATTGTCGGTATTGAGACGCGATGTTGAGGCCGATTTGAGTCGAGTGAATTGCTTCTTACGTTGTGGTGGTGGTCCAGCGCCACTGCCTCTGCGTGAGTTGTTGTTGTTCTCAACATTGCTGGCAAATGCTTCCGAGTCGGAATTGCCATTGTCGCTCAATGCGGATGTGGGAGCCAACAGATACCTCCCCTTTGGATAGTTGTTCGATATGGTGGTGTCCGACTGACTAACCGATGTGGTGTCATCCTGCACCCGCAGGTGACGTGCATATTTGGGAGAAGCTCCGGGTCGCCGTGAACTTGACGTTGCCACACGTTCGCTGTTGCGTTCCGTCAGCGTTGTTGAGGGAGGATCTTTATTGGCGGCCGCCAAGTGTGCTTTTGTGGGTATGGGTGGCTTATTGGAAGCTTGACTGCCACTACCCCCACTTTGGGCGGCCATTGCCGAGGAACGATGTTCACTGTTGACCGCTGCGGGTGGTCTGTGCGACGTGGAACGTTCAGTCTCCGATCCAGTGGTGGTGGTGTGCATATTCTTCTGCTGCAACGCCTGGGCCTCACGCCGACGATTTCTTCTCTCCACCGACAGCTTAACTTCGGTCTTGAGCCGAGCATATTTCTCCTTGAGGCAACGATACTTGTCCTCCAGCAAACGTTTCTCACAACGCACCTTCTCATAGAGTCTCTCTTCGCCGGACTCTTTCATGCGCTGTCTTTCCGCCTCCAATTCATCGCTGAGTTTGTCCTTCATCTGCTGCAGCTTTGTGGCATGTTCCTTCTTTATCATCTCTTCTTCACTCTTCAAATCCCGTTCAAGTTCTTCCAAGAGTTCGGCATGATTCTTTTGCACCGTGGCCATCTGGGATTTGTGTTCATCCACGACTGCCTTGCGCTTTGTGTCGTATTCCTCCTGCATTTGATGACAATATTCGGACATTTCCAGTTTCAACGCCTCTTCGGTTTCTTGGCGATATGCCTCCAGGCGCAAATCGTACTCCTCTCGTATGCTGCGCAATTTTTGCTCGTGCTCCTTTTTGATTTGTCCGATTTCCTGTTGCAATTGTTCCTCCAGTTTCTCCCGTTCCTCTTTCAGGCGTTGTTGTTTTTGTTTCTCCAACGATTCCCGCAATTCCACCTGGGCTTCCAATTCTTTGCTTGTATCACCCGACGAAGACTTTTCGTTGTCCTTCTTCAGGAGATTCACCAATTTGGAGGCCACCCTAAATGAGCGCATTGAAGATTTCTCGGGTTTGTGGCCCCGCGATTTCTTCTCCGAGTGGGATTCCGCGTTGTGGCGCCTTGCCAATTCTTCAAAATCAAATGGATTACTGCCAGGATATTCTGACTCATAACCATCTTCATTGTCCCACAGAGGCCTATCCTTGTCCATTTCAAAGGAATTATCATCGGATTCCTTGTCCTTACTGGAGCTATCCGGCTTGTCGACATCCTTCCGTAGGAAACCCACCAATTTGGAGGCCACTTTGAAAGATCTTACCGCTGCTTTTTCACTTGCCCTGACTACTACTTCAATATGCTTTTGATCCTCCTCCACCACCACTTCATCCATTTCAAAGGGATTATTAGAAGGACTGTGGGCCATATTAGTTATTTCCGGCTTATTGCTAACAATACTATGATCGGAACTACCTTTTGAATCGGAATCGGTGTCTTCGTACAAAGGCTTAACCGTGGCCGTCTCTTTTAGTGTATCCAAATATTGGACTGCATTTTGGCTGACGACACCGTCCTTGGCCCCACTGCCGGCTGCTTCCTCGCCACCACCAGCCTCCTTTGCCTTCATGTGTATAGAAAAACTTTGAGCTTTAAGCATTTGTATAGTTTGAGTTTTACTAACCGGTGTTACTTTGATGTCCTTCATTTGACGCTCATCGTTCATCAGGAACGGATTCAGGCTGCGTTGATAGGAAACCGCCTCCATGGGTAGCGTACCAATTCCAACACAGGCATTTACCTCTTCGTCGTCATGTTCCAAGTCTTCGAATTCATCCAACTCCTCGTCGCCCCAAGGATCCTCAACATCGTCCACACCATCATCTTCCGATTCGGAGGACATTTCAGCATTAAGCTCTTCCTCACTGGAACTGGGAATTTTCGCCTCTTCCAAATTGAAACGGACATTTTTCTTATCATCTGCATCCGTATCGGAGATGGCACGTAAATCGCTCTTGGCAAATTCCCGTTGCCAGCGGCGTTTCACCTCCTCCAGGCCGGTTTCACGCAAGATACTTTTGTAACCGGGTGGAGTGCCCACCTCACCTTCAACCACCACCTTATAGTTGAGCGGAGGTTCGGTGGATGTGATACCAAAATGGCGTCGAGATTTCAAGAACATTGATCCGGTACCGGATAATGTAAAACCCTTTCTCTCCGTGAGGCTCTCACTCAAGAGCTCGTTGTCGGAATCCTTATCCTTTGCACTGAGAATGGGATATTTTTCATTGCCTGCCTTCACATTGAAGCCCTTACGCGTTTGACTCTTGAAATTTGTGGGAAAATTCTTGGAACGAGTTTCCAGAAAACGATTTACATTGCCACTGAAATTTCCATTAGCTGTGGATCCAGAGGCCAAACTGCCATAGAGTTTGGGTATGGCTCCGGTGGAATTTACCGAGGGCCCAGAAGAAGTTGATGAGGATTCCGAGTTGTTTTGGGCCTTTTCATCGTGTTCATGATTGGCTGTGGCGCCATGTTCCTCAATATGTTCATCGCATTTACCATTCTTTGGAATTTTGCCATTCTCCGCCACTTCATTGTCCCTCATTGTTTCCAAGGCATCTGTGGCCTCCTCTGTGACAACATCACCATTTTCAGGTTTTCTTTGTGCAGCTCCTTTTTTCCCCTGATCCATTTTCACTTTCTCTTGGTGTATAACTTTATTGTAAACCTCATCAAAGGCTTGATCCCACATCGAAGCCTTGGCCTTGACACTGTTTCTGGTCGGTGCATTTCTACCAAAAACATCCACTTTTGAACCACTTGGTGTCAGGGGCACCACTTCTTCCTGCTTCGCATTCGTATCCATGGCCATTTTCAAAGGAAACTCATTGTGACGCTGCCTTTCTTGTCTCACCAATTGACGATAGTATTCGTTAAGAGGATGTTCGCGTTGCGTGTTTTTCGTTTTGACGTTGTAATAATAAGGATCTCCTATTTCATCGGCAGAGCTGTAAGAAAACACATACGCACCAACACACACACACTCGGTTATTTGATTTTAAATGACCATTAAAATATACATTTATCCTTACCACAATTGCCAGTTGGCAGGCAATGGTCGCATTAAACCCTCCTTGGCCAAATGAAGCAAATGGGGCTCTTTTACCGGGTCAATGCCAATTGTTTTGGCATAATCGTGAATATCTGCAGAATGGAAAGTGAAAAAACACGCATTAGTCATGTTATTTTGAAATAAAAGTTGTAGAATGTAACAGGATTGTGGTCTGGAAAAGGATTACATTTCGGAAAAACCTGTATGAAAAAAGGCCCCTGTATAGGAGGGTAATATTGTTAAAAGCTGACACCACTGTCATAGACCAGTAAAAATCTGGACTAAAAAGCTTTGATGTTTATCTCTTCCGGCAGATATCAAGATGGCTAGTCAAAGGGCTAGTGAAGTCACCCAGGACTCATGTACATGAACACTTCTACTGATTGACTAGCTATCTATCATACGTTAGATGGTCACAGAGATCACTGCAATGGAGTACCTAACAACAGAGTTCTTGACTTGGATTGAAATCCAGATCGCCATGATTTTGGTTTAACCATGTGATAAGTCTAAAGGCTCATCTGCCCTTTAGGGAGTTAACCCATGAATTCTGCAATTCGTCTGCTAATATGTCCCCAGCTCGTGTTTTATATTGGCTCAACTCATTTATGAAATATTCAAATGGTGGAGATCTGTGCTCGAGTAAATACTCATATTCTCTTTCCTAGACTTAGAGTGAGCGTCGGTATTCCTGAAAGTATGGATAGTGCTTCTGTGGATGTCGTTGCATATGCTGAGATAATCCTTAGTGTGCATACTCGATTTACTCTCTCTCTTTCTCTCTCTCTGAAAGTCTGGTTCTTGCTTTTTTCCAATTTCATGGTTTGTGCATACGCACCTTTTTGCACCTTTTAAATATACAATATTCTCAACGCGAACAGACATGAGGCTCGTAAGATAATCTGAAGTCAAGGATCAAACCTAGGTATTTAATACTATTTTTATTATTAGTTCCTGCCCGTTCACCATGTATTTCGGGCTAATGAAATTGCGCTTTCAGGCTACAAGGATTGCCTCCGTCTTAGCTACAGCAAGGTCCAGTTGTTTCGATGAATCATTCGTGATAATTTCAACGAGTGGAACTAGAGGTTGGTCGACGACAAGTGCAACTTTATCAGCATGTCCAGTTTTGTGCCTTGCGGTTTAAAAAATCGCCATACATCAGGATCCATAGAAAAGGACCCAATAGGGAACCTTGTGGAACGCCTGATTTTACACTGTTTTTTTTTTTTAGAAACAACACAGTCATTTTCGCTGATCAGTATTCGGTTTTCGAGATATCTATCAATCATATTTATAAGATAGCTTGAAACATTACGCCGTCATATGACACTCCTTCGTTCCAATCAGAATTTTTTATTAAAGTCCACTACTTTGCGAATGGCATCAATCGTTGATTTCTTCTTAATGAAATCAAGAGGAAACAGTGGTTTAACAGTGGTTAGAACCCATTCTTTATTCCTAGAATTGCATACCGGTTGCCAAACTTCTTCATAATTATCTTATATGGAAAACACCAAGGTCCGTTTTAGACTTCGTAATTTCCACGCTTTCTGTTTTGCTTTTATTATAGCAACGCGAGGGATATTTCTCTCTGACCTATAACGATTTATAACATCTGTATCCTTTTTGCCTTGTGACACCTTTTTGAAGTTCTACAATTTCGTCACTCCACCAGTAAACAGGTTTCTTCTTATGATCTATGAATCTCGTTTTAGTGATTTCCGCTTCGCATATCTGGGTTACAATGCTCGTAAGTAGTTCAGTAGATGTATATATATATATATATATCAGTACATGTGGTATCGACTGTATACTAGAGTTCTATTATCCTGTTTTGTAGTTTCCTAGGTTGATTTTTTTGCTTGCTAACCACGTTAGAGGTTTCTCTATTCCAAACAGAATATATTGATGGTCACTCTGAGTTTCCTCGCTTACAACGTTCCATCCTTACATATTCTTATACTTTCGATGATAAGGTAATATCAATAAGGGATTCGGCTTCTCCTCGCAAAAACGTTGGGGTATTTCCGTTATAGATCACAAAGAGACGAAATGAAGGAATCATTTCGCCAACTGCATTTCCCCTTTTATCGGTCTTTTTGGAACACCATTCATTTAATTTACTGTTGAAGTCGCCTCCTATTATTACTTGTGTATTATATTCTTTTATGTGGCGTTCAAGTCTAGCTATTTGAGATAACAAGACTGACAACCCCATGTTGGGCGAGTAATAGCAGATATAGATTCGTATTACCGTTTATATGAATGACAGTAAAGTCTTCTTCGTTCTCTCTACTTGGATAGTACAGGATTTCTCGCATGGTAGAAATACCAGGTAACAACATAGGCGAAAATTACAACAAAGCAAATGTTGTCGGAACTTGATATGTCGAAATTGTAAGCAAGGCGAATTTACTTGACATATAAAATTTGAGGCAAATTGTTTTGCACCAATCAGAACGAAGCATTGAATAATTTTGTTGTGTTTTTATTTATATTTAAAAAATTTATATTTTGCAAGGAAATTTTGTGAAAAGCAAACAAAAAGTCGAAGACTCGAAATATGACAAGAAACCAAGAAACAACCACCAAAATGAGGATAATTTACAAAGGCTGCTGCTCCAAACAATGAATTTTGCCGTGGATTTCTAAAAATGTAGATTCAACACATAAAATCCTCAAATTTTAAAGGAAATTACCGGCTCTTAAATCGTGGATATTTGAAGAACATTCCGGGTCTCAGACGTGGCTATATCTCGAAAGCATATTTGCGGATCTCAAATAGTGGATTTGTTGATTTATTTCAGACCTAAACATTATTATTTTTGAAATGAGACCAATTGTTTATCTTGAAGTCCTAAAGGATAAAAGTCCAAGTTTTAAGAAAAAAGTTCAGTCGGAGCTTCGACAGAAATATATCCTCAGAATTTGACCACTTATTTATCTTTACTTTATTTCAAGGGCGTATCATAAAGATTAAATAATTTCAACTTTTCACTAAATCTAGTATTAATACTTTGAAGAGAACTGGGAATAATATCACATTTTATGAGAATAGTGATTATTAAATATTTTGTAGGATAGGTATCAGATCTATTGTTCAAATATGACCTGATGAAGATATTATGAAAGGACATAGACTTTTGTCTGGGTGATTCATTTTTGTTTTTTAACTTTTTCCAACATTTTCAATTTTAATAATTGTTCAGGTTACTCTCTCATTTTATGTACCTGTAGGGCGAATTCATATATGTCAATTTGATATGTCAATTTGTTTGACATATCAAGTTGCCTACAGCTGGCCTGATAGGGCTACCTTTTAATTCTACCATGATTTCTCGCATAGACCGACGCGTTGCCAACCTTGGTATCACAATTTTCTCTCACATTTTTTATACAGGGTTGCCCATATTCGACGGACCTTTGGGCCCATTCCAATCGACGAGGCTTGTCCGCAGGCAACATTCTTTGCGTCAATTGAATTTTGTACGGGAACAAATGCAAATCAATGCAAATAATCCATTGTAAAGTGGACCGAGCCATGCCCAACTGCTGAGAACGACGTTTTTGGGATGTTCTTGGGGACATCTCAACACTGGCTCGTACGGCAGCGATATTCTCGGCCGATCGCCTTGGTCGAATTTTATATGGCCTCTTCGGATTAGAAAGAGCCTTACCAGTCGAACATTTTTCGTATAAACGCTTAATAGCGCACTTCTCACATTTTTTAATGTTTTAAAAGCACGTTGAGTTTTCACAATTGACTTCTTCTGTTGAATGTAAATTTCAGAGCGCTCGCCTGGCATGTATTGGTTCATGGTAAAAATCTGCTTGGACTGACGGTTCAAACGCGGTATGTCATTAAGCGATGTGACATATCTGTCAAAAGTTATGGCGTTGCCAGATGGGTCCGTCGAATATGGGCAACCGTGTACATTTCGTTACCGCACAATATCTATCTACTTTTCAAGAGTATATTTAATTATAAGATCTTGGGCTTGGCGACCTCTTCCAAGTTTTATTTGAAGTATTGTAATGAGCATTGCTGTGGAAGGTGTAATTTAATAATTTATACTCTTTTCACCGTTTTCTAGGCAAATTACACGCCTTGGTGGGCACATTTTTCCTCTTATCCTTTCCTCTAGAGGTTCGAACAAGATGGCCCTGTTCTAGGCATCTTTAGCAGCGTTTGGAAAAAGTTTTCCTACTAATTCTGCAATAAATTAGTCCCAGATTCATTTTATTCTGTTTGAATAGCTTTATGGCTATGTTACTGGGAATTTCAACCAGTGTTTGTTTTGTTCTCCCATAGAATTTTGATTTTTTTTCAATTATAATGTTATCTGCAGCGGTTTCATTCAAGGCTTCTAGAATTCCGTCAATAATTTCTGCTTCGGAAGTTTTTTCTTCGGTGTGTCCTATGTTATCAAAGAACTTTTCCGCTTATGCCTTGGTTGTAACTTCTTCTCCTAAAAATGACTTGATGGCTTCTTCAAGTTTCTTGGCGCTTCCATCGCCTCTTCCAATACACAATTGTACTAAGAGGCCAGTGTAACTGGGTTCATAAGCCAAACTGTGGACAATCTGGTCACAAAGGCCATGGTTGTCGAGTAGCTGCTGGTAGATGTCAATACTTTAGACTAGGTTTCATTCAAGGCTTCTAGAATTCGGTCAACAATTTCTGCTTCGGAAGTTGCTTCTTTGGTGTATCTTATGTTTTCAACTTATAAAGATTGCTCGATGGCTTCTTCAAGTTTCTAGGCGTTTTCACACACAGTTATATTAAGAGGTCAGAGTTGTAGTGTAACTGGGTTCATAGGCCAAACTGTGGACAAACTGGTCACAAAGGCCCTGGTTGTAGAGTAGCTGGTGGAACATGTCAATACTTCAGAATAGCTGGTCTGAGACGCTGCAATTGTGAGTAAAGAATGTGGCAGCAGGTGCTACTATTTTAGATTAATTGGTCTCGGACCACAATATAAGCTTAAAGGCTGTTGTAATTGGTCTCAGAGGCAACTGTTATAGGGTAACAGGTGTAGAGTAGCACAGTTGTAGTTTAGTTGGGCCTAGAGGCAACTACTTTAGAATTGCTGGTCACATAGGTCACTTCCAAGGAGTGGGTGGCCGCAGAGTCAAAAATTGCAGAGTATATATCCACGGAGGTTGGCTTTTTGGTCTGCTTTCTCATTTTTGTAAAGCATTCTGCTTTGCTAGGACTATTTATTTCAATCCGGCATTTGACCACCAAGTCAATAGTGATCTGCTGCAATACTGATGACATATCCTCCTTTTTTGCTTTCAGAATTTCACGGAAGTTACTTCATTCGGAAATTGTTAAATCGAGTAATCTGCCACTGTATGATTCAAAAAGTCTAGACCAGACGGAAGAGGTCTGCTGCCTCTCCTCCTCATGGGATACTCCCAAAAAAGAGACAAAGGGGAACTTAAGTCACTGTACTCAATGTGCAGATACTCTCTCCAAGACTTTATTTTTTCTTGTGAAATATGTTTATACAACTAATCATCATTTTATTAATTATAGACACACCCTGTCTTTATTAGCTTAAACATTTCATATGGCACCCTCTTTTATGGTCATTAATTCAAATAATGATTCAAAGAAACGCATCTCACCTTCCTCCGTTGGTTGTGAAGATTCACTGTAAAATCCTTGGCATACAATTGAATCCGAATGTGAGTTGCCGTCATCCAAACGGCACGAAGACGATGTTGTGGAAGATATTGACTCAGCCATTGTTGGTTACAACGAAGGGACACAAAAAAAAACAAACTAGAATAGAAACAAAGCAAAAGAATTGCAATTTCTCCTTCAACTCAACTCAAATCAAACCAAAAATATGAAATCATAATCGTTGAACTATGGCCAATGTAAACGCACACTACACACAAATCTGATGACGACTATACGCCTTGATTGTGTTCTTCTGATGGTTCAATGAGTACTAAATTGATTTATTTTCTCATTATGACCGACCCCGATGTGGTGCTTTTGTTGATATTTCTCTTCTAGGCGATTTTATTCATTTCCATTTCATGAAATTTCTTTTGTTTCTGATGAACTTTCTACGCTACGTTTGGAGATTGGTGCACTTGTGTGACCTAAAAAAATAATAAAAGAAAATATTTTTATAGCAACAAATAATAATCGCAATAATAACAACGAAGCAACAACTATATGAACCAACCCAACATCACTACCAAGTACATTGAGAGAATATGGATGGAGGGGAAGCGTGAAGCTTGATTTGAGATGCTGTGTCGGGAGGATATTTTTTGAAAAATGAAAGAAAGAAAATATCACGGTATTTTCACAAGCACACTTCGTACCGTTACTCAGACATAGCTCTGTGTCAGTCTATCGGCTATTGTTGCTGTTGTTGTTATTATTATACTCTAATGAATGATAGGTAGGTATGACACGTTGAGGATTTTTGCTGAGCCGACTATGATTAATGCCATGACAGCAAAAACAACAACAACAACAAAATACAGAAGACATAGAAAACAAATCAAACAAAAGCAGCAGCCCCAACAACAACTGGGCTAACATTTTCCCTTAAGTCTTGGGTGTTCTACTAAAGAAAATAGACATTAGGAGGAAATGAAATGCAACAACGATGGTATGAACATTGTATGAGTGTTGCCAGATGTGAGAACTTGAGACTAATTTGAATTGGTATTAGTAACCGAAAGCTGCAGGTTGGGGGTTATGAAATGTTGTGTTATATATGTTATATATATATTTAGCTTGGTTGAACAGTATTTCCTGTCATAGCAAAAAAAAATATATATACATATTATTGTTATCGATTCGCATAGCAAACCTATGCTGTTTGCATAATATATAAATGTAGTCCAACATACTGGACACAGTCCATATCTCACCAAACTACCTACATTTAAAAGCTCCACTGAGCTGTTATCGATACAAATGCCAACTGATACTCTAAAGGTGGAAGTACATAAGAAGAATGGAAAACGAAGGCTAGAATTTATTGCGGCTCTGTAATCCCATTATGAAACGTCACAAAATATGCCTAGTCACGACTTCAAGCTTCTTATCTACTTACACCTTAAGGCCCGTTTCTATATCCTTTCTTTAAAATCAAGCTTTGTTAGGAAATGTAAAGGATAAAGTCCACATTATCGCGTAACTTTCCTTTGAAATAAATGCCTTTTTTCAAAGATATGGCAATAAAATTATTACTTTTTGTAAATATAACTGGCAGACACTGCTTTCATTTACATTTGCATCTTCATTTTAGGAAAAAAATAAATCCGTAATTATTTCTGCAAAAAGAGTCTCAAGCGAAAATGTGTAAAATAAACAAATTGCTTAATCCATTTTTATTTGAATAAATTTTGCTGTCATTGCCATATTACCAATATTAAATATTTCAACATAAATTCAGTAAACTTTACGTTAAGAGATAAAAGAAAGGTGGTCTGACCTTTTGCTTATCTAATAGTTCATATCATTGTAGAAGAATATAGGTACACGCATCGACACAGCTGCTGGGGCAATGAACTGTCAAACCAATTTTGAAATCGAAAATGTTGAATGAAAAATTATTTAAATTTGTGAAAATTGTTGAAAAACGCGTATTATAATAACCTCCGAATGGCGTCGTATAAGAAAACATATAAAAATGTACTTATATTTGAAAATACTTTTAATTTTTTTGACATATCAATGTTCCCAAGCGTTGATGCATCTACCTATATTTTTCTACCATGGTTAATATTTAAATGAAACCTGTAATAAAGAAAAACGACTTCATTGTCCAATCGCATTATATTTTATTTATCGGAAAGATGTAATAACCGGTCTAAATCTTCCAATTAACATCATAATACCTTTACACCAAAGAGGTTTTCATAAAAAGATGATTGAAAATCAGCTGTTTTGTTGCCATAATATTTGAAATATTATAAAACATTTTAGGTAATTAGAATACAGCATTAAATTAATAGTATGTTGAAAATTTTATGAAAAATGTATAAATTCAATTGATTATACGTCAAATAATTGACGTATCTACGTAAAATACGTCATTTAGATATCGGTGTAAGCCATCCTTAACATATCAGTGCAAATAATCTCTACCAAGAAGTAGAAAAGAAAGGAATATCAGGAAGGAATGTACGATAAGTCCAGTAAATGAGAGCGATGCAAAAAGAAAATTTTGTTACAAGAATTATCATGGTAGAAGAATACAAGAAGATGCGTCAACACTTGGGAACATTGATATGTCAACAATTATTTTTTTTCAAACATAAGTAGGTTTATAGTACGTTAACATATAAAAGAGTTAACCCACAGGATTTGGATTAAAATTGTCATATCCATTATCTATACTTCAAATAAATCCTCTTAAATTGGTTTAAGGTGGGAATATATAAAGCGCTTATCTGGCTGGCTTAAATCATCGGCTGGCTTTTTTGGAAATGAACAAAGGAGCCTAGGGTCAAAATCGAACTAAGTCAACCTAAAACTCCTTTATTCGTCTACGAAGAAGCCAGCCGATGACTTTAACCAGCAAAATATGCGCTTTATGTATTTTCACCCTTAACCCTACAAATAGTTCAAGCATAAACATGGCATTACCCATGGTACAATAAAACGGTAAGGTAGAGCTAACAGCTGATTACAGTGTACCCGACTTCTGCCAATTTTGTGTATGAATTTAGTGTTTTGAAAAATAAAAAGAAAATATTTTCAAAATCAATGATTGGAAGACGTGTACGAGGGACGCGCATTGTAGCTATTCGCCAGTTTAGCCATGTAATTGAAAGATCGAACTATTTAGATCATATTTTTGAAAGAGAATCCAGGGATTTCATTCATTTTTCGCGCTGCTTAACTGATTTTAAAAATGAGAAAAATATTGAATAAATGAAAACAACGTGTTTGCATGCAAATTTGACAGGAAGCGAGCATAGCTTCAGGGCTGTATTTTTGTCCGTCTGTGGAAATCACTCTAGCTTCCGAACAAAATGAAGTAGGTTGATAAAATTTTACTCAAATGTGTATTATGTCTGCCGGACTTTTGGTATTGAAAATGGGTCATGTATGTCCACTTTTTGGTAAAGCCCCATATAGTGGTACCTCCCTTTTTCGGTATTTTGGTCATTTAAGCGACATTATTCACCGAAATTGTTTCAAATTTGGTATTTGAAGTTCATAATGGATACTACAGCCTATGACAGAAAATTGTCTGTGCAGGTCCAGGTCTACGTATGGCCCCCATATAACTGTACCTACCGATATTCGGTATTTTTATGATTTTAGCTACATTACTCACTGAATTTTTTTATTCAAGTTTCGCATTTGAGTATTGTAGTGGCAAAATGACAAAAGTTGCCTATGCAGGTCCACGTAGTCGTATAGACCCTAATATGACGGCTAAATTCGGTATTTTTAAGATTTTAACAGAACTTTTAAGGGATTTTATTTTTTTGAAAATTGCCAAAATCGTTCTAAATGGTGGAGGGTATTCAAAGATCGGCCCGACCAAACTTACAACTTTTTTACTTAGGTTAGGTATAGATAGATAGATAGATTCGAAATTAAATTAATTAGGTAAGTTTAAGACACCCTCGTAAAACATAAAAGAGCCGAGAGCAAGTTCGATTTATATAATTTCTGTCCTGATTTTCATGATGCTATTGTTAATTTTTTACAATTTTCTTAAAATAAGACTCAATAAAATTTGATTTCCTATTAGCATATGTTCTCATTACGGAACTTTCGTAATCAATTTTATGGTCCTGTTTCAATCGATTCACCATACACTTTATCATTTTTGTCTCTAAAATTCTAACAATGTGGCAACTACATTTTATTAAAAATAATACAAAGAATAATAATAACGACAACAAAAAATTGAACTGCAACTGCAGGGAATTAAAAGTCCATGGGTGTGTGTGTGTGCGTGTATGTGTCATAAACCCACATACATACAGCACGTCGATACCGAAAAAATGTGAACGAATGGAACGAAGACATCGAGGAAGAGGAAATTTGTATAGCATACCAGAAAATTTAAGATATTCATGGAAAATTTAAGTATAAACCAGGCCAATAAATGTTCCAGGACACTTTTCAACGAATAAAACATTTTCCACGTAAAATGAAAACATAGTCGTAATTCATTTCCATTTGACAATTTTTAAAGCACTTTTCTTGAATGAATAATTTATTGATTTTTCTCCACTTTATTCAATAATTCACTTCCATCTTTTTTTGATGGGATTTTAGAAAACTTTTTTCCCTTTCAGCAATTTTTCATGCACTATAATTTTAATTCTTTTTAATTTTACACATATAACTTCGACACTTTTCCATTAAGAAAAATTTTGTTCTAGATTTTTTCTTGCTCACTTCAGATTTTTTTCCAGTTAAAACTTTGATTTGCTCTATGAATTATTTTTTCTCGTTTCGTCTTCTCGGATACAACCAGCTGCTGCCTTTTATAATCACAAACTGATTTTTGGTTGCGTATCCAAGGTCCGTTGTGTCAAACAGGACATTTTATTTGACTTTCCTTTTTAAACCTAATTCTTTGACGGCAATACAAATACAGACACACTCGCACACAAACACACACATTCAAGCACAGCAAACTTGCTCAAGCGGAAATCTATGACTGCTTTTAATAGCTGCTCCTGTTGTTGCTGGTATAATGTCATCGTTCTTGTTTATTAGAAGGCCAACCATATGATTTTTGTTTACATTTTGCCGCCGCATTCATGGTATTACGTCACTACCGGTTTTGTTTTTATCACAGCTTTCGTAATTGTTTGATGATGCGCCGTAGCACTCGATGTGACAGGTTGTTTACGAGGATAGCTCAATGAAAGTTAGATAGTGAGAAAATAATTACAAGTTTTTTTTTTTTTTTGAATTTGTAATATAGTTCTAATATAAACATAAATTTATCTCATTAACATTGTTGGCATTAGCATGATTCGAAGCATATTTTTAGGCATATAACTAATTTGTAAAAGGAGTAGGGGTTGCCAGTGTAGCCCTTGTGGCGATTTTTGTGTAAAACGTTACATCACAACATTAACTAATGCTGCTATCAGACGATAAGGGTTTTATATATGGGTGACTTTTTATCGTAAATTTAATCCAAACAACACTTTTGATTAAATTATATTTTTCCGATGGAAATAGGAATTTTTTTTTCAAAAATAAGTAGGTTATTATGTTTTTTCTTATACGACGCCAATCGGAGGTTGTTATGGCATATTTTAAAAACAATTTAAGGAATTTGAATAATTTTTCATTCAAAACTTTCAATTTTAAAATTGATTGACAGTTCATTTTCCTAGCAGCTGTATCGATGCGACTACTTGTATACTTCTACAGGGTTGCCCATATTCGACGGACCCAACTGGCAACGCCATAACTTTTGACAGAGATGTCACATCACTTAATGACATACCGCGTTTGAAGCGTCAGTCCAAGCAGATTTTTACCATGAACCAATACACGTCACGCGAGCGCTCTGAAATAGTTGAAATTTACAAGAAATCAATTGTGAAAACTCAACGTGCTTTTAAAACATTAAAAAATGTGAGAAGTGCGCCGTCTAAGAACACCATTAAGCGTTTATACGAAAAAATTTCGACTGGTAAGGCTCTTTCTAATCCGAAGAGGCCATATAAAAGTCGACCAAGGCGATCGGCCGAGAATATCGCTGCCGTACGAGCCAGTGTTGAGAGGTCCCCAAGAACATCCCAAAAACGCCGGTCTCAGCAGTTGGGCATGGCTCGGTCCACTTTTAAATTTAAAAAAAAATTTAAAATTTTTATTACGATAATCGATTTTTCCTTTATGACATCGAAAAAATTTGCAAAACTGGTAGATTCTTGCAGGTACAGAACAATTGTGTATCTGTTTTAGCCGTTTGTGAAAAACTCCTGAAGACATAAATACGTAAAAACTTGAAAAAATACATTTTTTAAAAGATTACAGAGGTAACAATACAAAATTAGAGCAGCATGACAAATAAAATTTTTCAGTTGTTACCAATTTATTAAATACCCTGAAAGATAGCTGGGGTTATGTGTCGCCATGTCATCACTTTTATCTACTTTGTATGAGACATTGTCAACATTTTGGAAGCAAAAACAGGAGTTAAGGTGGGAATACATAAAGCGCTTATCTGGCTGGCTTAAGTCATCGGCTGGCTTCTTCGAAAATGAACAAAGGAGCCTAGGGCCAAAATCGAACTAAGTCAACCTAAAACCCTTTGTTCATCTACGAAGAAGCCAGTCGATGACTTAAGCGAGCCAAATATGAGCTTTATGGATTCTCACCCTTATGCTCTGCTTTGTTATTTTTTCTTCAATTTGTTAATTGTCATTTAACAATTGTATAGTAAAAAGGAAATAAACGAATTTGTAAATTCAATAATTAATTAAAGTGAAAAAGTGATAGAATAATAAAACAAAAGTTCAAGTAAATCGAAAAAAGGTAAACTTTAAATCAAAATAGATATCGTGGTGCGGCAGAAGACAATTGTGGCAACAGTCGAGATTTTAATTTTGTAGAATCTGCTGATGATTTTGTGTTGTTTTTTAAAGATTTTTCTTCAAAATGTACTTTGCGAAATAAATTAAAATTGGTATATTGAAACAGCAAATATTGGCAAAAGCTGATACCAATACTACAGGTGGAAGGCTTGGAGATGTCATCATTATAGGTAAACAGATTATAAAGGACTTTCTTTTATTTATTATATATCTTGATGTTATACCAACCATGGCTCAATAAGAAAAGTTGCTCAACTTCAAGGAAACTAAGAAAATGCAACTCTGTACTGGAGTCTTATTATGTCAAGAATACATTTTTAACATGCATCAATTGGTTTTGTTTATTAACCATTTTTTCACAAAAATATATTGCGGAAAACAACAAATGGAGTGATGGAATATTGGAGTTTCTCAACTAAATTGAATCCAAGATAGTAGACCATGATTTGTTATCCCAAAATTATACATTTCGAAAACCGTTAACGTGGAAAGTTGTCTCTAAATACAAATAAACATATGTTTACACGAGTTTACCTTTTCAATTCCAACATTCTTATACTTATAAAATAACAATTATCAAAAACAGTGTTAACAAAACAAAATTACAAACAAAATTAAGTGGGAGTTATATTTACCACGATGCCATAAAATATGCCCCATAATATCACCTCGACAGAAAAAGCATAATCTTGTTTTAATTAAATTCTGTAGAAATTAAAATTCAGATTCACAGAGGTAAGAACGCAGGAAATGTTTGACTCGAAAAAAATTCCAAGCACAAAATCCGGTTTAGATATTGGAAATCTTTTCAAAACCCCTATATATAGAGTTAAGATTAAAAAAAAACGCTAATAACAATCAATTCAGTTGCATTACTCTTTTATGGGCACCATCTTTTGAATTTGTAAATGTTATCAATCGTGATTGAATGAATATCAACATCAGCTGGTCAGCGCCAAAATTATCGTGTTGTTTACATTTTCAACTTCGGAGGGCTTCAGTTGTCCAGTCGTTTTTCAATTATATATTTATTTAGTTTCCACGCCATTCTACGATGAACTCACAGAGCTATTTTCCTAATTACTATGCCGTGGAAGACATATTCGTTACACAAGAAAAAGTAGAATGCAAAGTAAATACCAAGCTATTGAAAATGGGTAAGTTAGAAGACACTCTCTTAGGACATAACGTCAACTCAAAAATTATCTTTTTAGGATTTCTCGATTCCGGTGCTGATACTGAAGATTTAAATCCTGGACGCACTATCAACCTTCCGCTTTGGTATATCAAAGAGCTCAAAGTTAATAATCCCTATTTTACTGTATGTGTGCCTGAAATCTATAAAAATGTTCACAAGGCAGTGTGTGAAGCTGAAACAACCCACATAGAATTGGGAAAATTACATCCATATTTTTATGAATATGGTCGTTATTTAACACCCTATGATCGAAATCATGTAGTGGGAAAAATCGTCTTCGAAACCATGCGCCAGAGAGTAAGACATTTGCTGGATATTTCTAAGAATGCGACTGATACAGGTAAACCCGAACATCGCTTGGATGATATAGAGAATAAACTGTATGAATCGGGGGTTAAAACAAGTCATTTGGTAAGCACGTAATTCCATTCTAATGTTTATCTACGTTTCTGTTATACTCTTTTCTCCTTCACAGTATGTAAATTGGCTGCGAATGAAATTCAACAACATTGCTGCTTCCGAAATGGTCCAGGAACACACGAAAAAACGAAAACGTGAACGTCGAAGCGATGCCAACGATTCACCGGAACAAGAACACAAACGCCAAACACTGTAGCTTTTTTTAACAATACAATTTTATTATTTTAATCAAAAACTAAACAAAGATATTTCATATAAATCTACTTGCTATAGCCAAGACTTTGGTATAATCAGCACCCTTTGCCTGGGTCTTCTCTTTTAGTATTGTACGCAAAATTGTGGGCACCGGAACGTGGATACGTGTACCCAAAGGTGTTCCATTGTCGTCAATCAAAACAAGGTTATTGCTGTCGAATTTTGGAATTTTTGGCTTTTGTTTCTGTTTCAAGCCCACCAAAATACCCTTTTTCATTTGTCCTTTGATGGCAACCAAAACCTTGTCGCCCACTAGACCAATGCCACGTTTATTGTAGACATGAATGCAACGGGGAGGTCTTCCTTCGGCCATAGCTCGTTTACCCAAATCACTGTTGTCCACCACACGCAATCGGGCCAATTTACGTATCTCATAGCAAACCGGTGTAGTGTGCAAAAGTTTTGCCTGCATTTGTGCTTGACCAACCGCATTAACGGCGTTCGCGACCGATGTGGACTTAAGTGTTTTCAACAGGAAAGACATTTTCGTTTGTATTTCGCTGTAATTAATACAATTTATGTTAATAATTAAAAATTTTATCCACTAGAAAGGAATTGAATAACAAGTGAGGCCCGCAGGCAAGAAACACGAAATGTCAAAATAATGTGTCACGGCAAAACATATGTTATTGAGATAATCATTCAAAGTGACTGTTGTGGAAAATATTTTAACCCGTTGAGAGCAGTCTCAAACGCTGAGACAACGTTTAAATTTGTGTCCATTATTGCTCTGTTCCATATTATGTAAGAATAAAATTAAATGTAACTTGATTATCTACTTTTATTTTACGATCTCGAAAAAAAAACTAATGTTTTATATCAAATAAACAAAGCAACTTGTTGCATTGATTATATAAAACAAAACAATAAACAAACAAAAAATGTGAAAACTGAATGAAAAGAGAAGATTAATTCCAAAATCATGTTCTATATATCTCTAAGGATGTTCCATGTTTCGAATGTTTTATATTTGAAATAAATTAATGTCCGTTCCAGAACCTGCAAGAATCTACTAGTTTTGCAACTTTTTTCAATATCATAGAGGAAAAATGGGTTATCGTAGTAAAAATTTTAACATTCTTGCAGTTCTGGGAACAACCCAAGTTTAGTAAAAAATCTTCGATTTTTTCAAAATTTTTCCCAGAGGTAGGTATTTTTACCCTGATCCCGGGAAACCATCAACATAAATATGTTAATTTAGAATAAACCAAGACACCAGAGTCTCTCTCGTTGCTTTGTTTCAATAATTGATTCATTTAGCTTTGTCTTACTTTTTGATTAACTTCAGTTTTTTAATTTTTAATATTTTGCCTTATGTTCATATCGAAAAATTTATTTCCCCGCAGGGATGTTTTTATACAGAGTACATAGGAAGAAGAGAACAACAATGCTGATTGCTTGACACCTGATAAACCGCCGCCGCCAAAAACAAATTGTTTTGCTTCGGAGTCTGGATAGAAATGTTTATTTACTCTTAACAGAATTAAAAAACTAAAAAACGACAAAGTTTTGCCAATTTGGGCCAATTTCAATTGCACAAAATGGCCAGTGTGGTGGACGACGAGAACAATATTTCGATATGTCGTGTTTGCATGCATGCAGATCCCAATTTGTATCCTATATTTGAAGTACAAACGGGCTTCGAAAATTCTGTAGCTGATATTCTGACTGAATGTACAAAATACCCGGTGGAACGCAATGACAAACTACCCACAAATATTTGCCTTAACTGTAGGGAATTGGCCCGAAACGCCCATAATTTTAAACGCCAAACCGAGGAGGCATACTGCAGACTAAAATCAGTGTATGATATAAACTGGGCGTCTCAACAGAAGGATGAGAACAAAGGTGCGCCCACAACAGTCGACACCACCATCGGCGGCAATAGCATAGCCCATAAGTATACACAAACGGATAAAAGTACGGTGTTCCAGTGTGAGTCCTGCCCATTGAAATTTTTTGCCGAAAATGAATTGCGCCAACATCGGGCCGCCAGCCACATATACGATGGGAAAAAGTGCCGTGTCTGTGGGGGGAAGTTCAATCATTTGGGTCAACTGAAAGTCCATTTGTCGACGGCACACCCCGACGAGGGAATACGTTGTGATTTTAAATGCTATATTTGTGCAAGGGAATTTACGCGCAAGGATCATCTTAAACGACATTTGATTAAGGTGCATAAAATTAAGGATGAGAAATTGAATATGTAAGTATACATTGATAGATGATGGTATATGTGGGAGTTATGGGCCCAAATGCAAGAGGTGGGGTGATACATTACTTTTGATTGGAATAATTTGAAGACCCGGGGCTTGTTCGAAAAATCATCCTAATTTGGAATCGGATGATTCCTTCATATATTGGTTAGGTGAAAGAAAGTTTATCAATTGAGATGCAAAAGATAGAAAACAGAGGGAAAAAATTTTAATGGTAAAGTATGACCAATTCACACCAGGCAAGTTGAATTTAGGAATAAGGAAATTTCTCAAATAGAGAAATGCTCGAATCCTTGGCGGATCGTTCTCAGCACCCCAATGTCAAAGTTTCATGGAAAGTTATATGAAACGATATTAACAAAAGGAACGAACAATTTTTAACTTTAGCCATTTGCATGAGGAAGATAGATACATCGACTTCAGACGTCGTCAAAATCCGATAGACAATTATTCGAGCTCCTAGAAAATATTGGGGAAACATATCACTTTCGAAAGGAGCAAACGATATCACCATAAACTAATCGACCTTAGTCAGAAATATTCTTCCCATTGCGGCAAAGATGCAGCTTGCTAAATATGTAACTGCTTTAGAGAGTAGGTCGCGTCACGGTCCAAAGACGGAGAACTGCGTGCAAGTGCCTCAGGATCATATGCACGGGTGGGAACATAAGAATAACTTCTGTACTCTTCGCTTTATACCTTGAAATCTCGGTTCTAAAATCCGGAATAGGATCGTTGTTCTCAGAATATTTTGTTTCAACTTTTTTTTCAAAGTGCCTTCTTCATAGATAGAGACAAAATGAACTCTCAAAATACAACAAGAAAGCGGGTTAAGACTACAACTCTGTCTTAGCCCGCTTTCTTGTTGTATTTTGAGAGGATTTAAAAAAAATCAAACACGCAAGATTTCTTAACTCGTATGATGTGCTTACATAAATGCTACGCTAATCATGTGTTCACAATCCATTTGCTGTGGGTTCTTTTTAGACTCAAAACCAGGGGGTGAAACAAATATGCCAGATAGCTATTTTCTCCTCTATACAGGGTGAGGTAAAAAAAACTGCAACCAACTTCAAACTGCTGTCATTTCTAAGCCACTCGCCGGACAGCTGTTAAAATTATTCCAGTGACAGCTCATTATATTGTTTACAAGCTTCCAAAAGCATTCTGGTGAGAATTTTCCAGAAAAAAGGGTATTCGTGATGGAATTCAAGCGTGATAGTGTGATTTCTTTATATTTGACTGGAAAACCACAAGTGGGTATCGTTGGAGCACTCCAGCATTTAAATGTGAATAAATCTTTTGTGTCTCGTACCGTGATACTAGTAGCGTAGCCCGACGTCAAACAGCAACATCAGCGGAAATGGTTCGAAAAGTGAAGAAGCGATTTGATCGAAACCCGCGTCGCAGTGCCCGAAAATGGCTCGGCAAATATTGAAAAATGAGTGCGGGGTAAAGCCATTGAAATTCCAAAAGAGTGCAAGAACTTACACCGCAACAGAAAAAATAAACTCGAAAGAGCTAAAGAGTTGCTTTGCTTGGCCGAAAGTGAATGTGGTTTTCCGCTCGTAATAATCGACCGTTGCATCAGAATAAACACCGAATATTATAGCGAAAATATTCTGGGGGGTGTATTAAAGCCTTGGGCACGCAAACATTTTGGCCGCAGACCTTGGACATTCTAACAGGACTCAGCACCATCGCACTCAGTACGCGCCACCCAAGAATGGTTAAAAAATGAGGTTCCTCGCTTCATTTCCAGCGCACAATGGCCACAAAAATCTCCGGATATCAATCCGTTGGACTATTGTGTCTGGAGAATTTTGGAAAGTAAGGTTGGCACTAAAAAATACCAAAGTGTCGATCACCTCACGCAAGCGCTTCGCTGGGAATGGGCCAAAATACCGCAAGCAATATTCGGGCAGCGTATGAGGGCCTTAATTTGTGCCAAAGGTGCCCAATTCGAAATCTAAACTTATTCTAAAGTTTGATGCTATTTCCGACATTGTTTGCTTTCATTCAATAAAATGTACAAAAAAATGTAAAATTATGGCGTTTGACTTTGTTGCAGTTTTTTTATCTCACCCTGTATTTATCAAAAGTTTATTTCTTTAATTAAATTTCTAAATCTTATCTTTAGTTCAAAGGTATCACTGGATGAACCTGAAATACAAATCAACACTTCAGACAATCAGGCAACGACCCTCAACAACTACAGTAGTCACTGGCCAGATTATTGTAACGAAGATGATGACGTTGAAGGGGGAACAACAAGTCAAAATGAAACAACTGAAGCAGCCATTAATCCATTCTCAAGTGATGATGAGGGACAAGACCAGAACAGTTTCAATGACATGAACGACGAAGATGTTAAACATTTTGTGGAAAATTTCCCTCAACCTGAAGTTTCTATTAAAGGTGAGTTTCCTCCCCCTTAAACAAGCATTGATTGTATCTTGCAAATACATTATCATATTGGCTAACCATGAGTAAATAGAGTGGAATAGCCACTTAGCCACTAAATTCATCAAAACAATAATAATTGTGCTATAAATTCCTAATTAAATTAAAATGTGAAAATACTGTGAAAGATCAAGTTAAAACAAATTTTAAATATTCTTAAGGGTTCGTATTAAAATGTTGAATACATGTTCATTAAAGTCCATTTATTTTGAAATTCCTATTTGCTTTCAGTTGAAAATTCGGACGAGAATGATGGTATTAAAACGGAAAAGCTGGCTAAATTGAATGAAGATGGTTCATTGGAAGATACTAAGCCCACTGTTCATACCACGGCCTCCCAGAAATCCGAATTGCCTCCAGAGAAACTGGAGCCTGGCCACATTGAAGATGAACCATTTCACTATTTTGGTGATGATCATCATAGTGATGAAAATAGCAGCGATAATGATTCCAAACCTGACGACGAAGATGATGATGATGGGGAAGAAGAAGAAAATGACGATGATGATGAGGAAGAAGACGATGATGACAATGATGATGATGATGATGATGATGAAGAGCATGATGACGAACATGTCACAAAAAAAGAAAAGTATAAAAACAATAAAAAATCTTCGAAAGAAAATAAGGCATCTTCTTCAACTGCGATCAAATCCAGAAAGCCACGTCGCCGTCATGTTTCCACAAATCCCGAAGATAATCGTTGTAAGGAGTGCAATCGTACATTCACCCGCTACAATCATTTGCTACGACACATGCTGTCCCATAGTAATGAAAAACCTCATATTTGTAAATTCTGTAGCAAAGGTTTCACCCGATCAGATCATCTTCAAAAACACATACAAAGTATACACGCCGAAAAGAATTTCAAATGTGATCGCTGCGACAATGCCTATGGACGTAAAGATCATTTACTGCGGCACATTGAGACACGACACAATAAAAATCCTTCGGCACCCAAACCCCAATATGAATGCGACATGTGTGAAAAGAAGTTTACAACAAAGACATATTTGGTAAAACATAAGTTGTTGCACACCGACAGGCTGTATGCCTGTAAACATTGTCCGGAAACGTTTAGCGAAAAGGAACAAATGAAGGAGCACCAGAAAAAGGAGCACACACAACCAAGGAATTTCCTGTGTAGCATATGTGGAGACTCTTTTCAGCGTAATGAATACCTGAAAATTCACATGAGGCGTCATACAGGAGAAAAACCATACAAATGCCGATTTTGTGAAAAGGGTTTTCCACGTAGTACTGATTTGAAAATGCACGAAAGGTTCGCTCTCATTTGTTTCCCCTTAATCACATGATAAGATTAATCGCTTTTTTTCTATTTCATTTAGATATCACATTGGTCTGAAACCAAATCTATGTAATTTATGTGGCAAAGGTTTCCATCGTCCCTACAATCTGACCATACACATGCGAACTCATACCGGTGAAAAGCCTTATAAATGTAATCAATGCCCCCAAGCCTTTGCACAAAGTAATGATTTGAAGGCCCACATTCGCAGACACACTGGCGAACGTTTTCGCTGTGATATATGTAGTGCTGCTTTTCTTCAACGATACGGCCTTAATGCTCATTTGAGAACGGTTCACGGGATTGTTGTAACTTCGTTTACGGGACGTTTGCGTAAAGCTGAACCAGGTGAAGTTTCGACCGGTACTGGTGGTCCGAACGATGAAATGTTATCGGCAGATGAACAAATGCAAGGAACTGAGTCGTTGCCAACAATAACGACAACAACAACACCAGCTGTATCAACAATACAGCACAATGTTGATAATTCATCCACGCCACCATTATATTTGGGCCATCACCTCTTAAATCCAATGGCTTCTGTTGGTTTGGCAGTCGCCCATGCGGCAGCAACATCGATGGATGCAACAATTTTGCCACCACCACATCCACCTCCCCCCACACAATTGTAATATAACTAATTTGTAATTATATAAGTTTTAGTTTTTAGTCTAGTTGTAGAAAACTTTTAATTTATAAAAAAAAAAAATTTTATGCAATAAACCAATTTGTGGGAAATGTTCACAAAAGAAAGCGTTTTATATTTTCATTTTTTCAAATATTAATAAGAGGCCATTTAAGCAGACGTGTTAGGTTGAACACAATGATGACACAAAAAAACCAAATGGTAATATACCTTCATATTAGAAAAAATTCGCGGTGATATATTGACTGGTCACACTGGTCAGATATTTGACCTCAAGATGGTCAGGTGGAAGATATAAACTCTAACGTTCATCTTAGACGTAGATCCCATCAACATTTATAGGTTTGCTAAAAGCATATCATGACTAGTTAAACCTTTAGATTACTAGATATTTTCTATTCCTACTTTTTTTATACCCTCCACCATAGCATGGAGGGTATATTAAGTTTGTCATTCCGTTTGTAACACCTTGAAATATACATTTTTGACCCCACAAAGTATATATATATATTCTTGATCAGCATAAAATTCTATGTCGATATAGTGATGTCTGTCCGTCTGTGGAAATCACTCTAGCTTCCGAATGAAATGAAGTAGATTGATAAAATTTGTGTCTGCAGGACATTTGGTATTGAAAATGTGTGATGTGACAACGGTACCTCCCGATATTCGGTATCTTGATGATTTTAGCGAATTGTTTCAAATTTGGTATTTGAAGTTCGAAATGGATACTACAGCATAAGACAGAAAATTGTGTGTACAGGTCTACGTCTTCGTATAGCCCCCATATAACGGTACCTCCATTATCTGTGCATGTCCACGCCTTCGTATAGCCTCCATATAACGGTACCTCCCGATGTTCGGTATTTTGATGATTTTAGCAACATCATTCATCGGAATTGTTTCATATTTGGTATTTGAAGCTCGTAATGCATACTGCAGCCTCAGGCAGAAAATTGTCTGTGCAGGTTCACATGTTGTGTATAGCCCCCATATAATAGTACCTCCCTATATTGATGATTTTAGCTACATTATTCACCGATCTGTTTTCAAGTTTCGCATTTGAATATTGTTATGGCTGCAGGTCTACGCCATTGTTTGGACCCTAATATGACGGATACATTTGGTATTTTTAAGATTATAACAGAATTTTTAACGGATTTTATTTTTTTTGAAAATTGCCAAAATCGTTCCAAATGGTGGAGGGTATTCAAAATTCGACCCGACCGAACTTAAAGCTTTTTTACTTGTTTAAATTTATATCTTTACTTTCATCACTAAATCTTCCTAAGATGAACACAATGTTCTCCGAGTTAAGCAGACCGAACCTAAGACCATGAACCTAGGCAAAACCACGAAGTTGCCAACTCTCGTGTGGCTGCACATCCTGTAACCTAACCTAAGACCATAAGCCGAGGCAAAACAACGAAGTAGAAATAGGCCTCATCAGTCAGGATGATTTGGATGAAATTTCGGATCAGTTTCATGCATTTTAAGGACCCTAAACATGAGAAAGTTGCTGAACGGATAAGTTCTTACTTTAATTGAACTTAATAAGAATTGAGATTCAAGTCTTCATGCAAAATACGACGAGGAATGGATAAATCTGGATTTTCTCAAAGCTTTGGGCTACAGCAGCAATTCTCTCAGTTGTTCTTGACTAACGTGAACGGGTTTTATTATCCACACCATCAAAGCTTAAGTATTACGACAGATTTTTGTGGTGAATTGTAAATATGTCAATGCTTTGTGGAAGCGTGTATCATTCCAATCTTAGAAATAGCGGTTCTTGTCGGTTAATTGAAAATAACACCTCTTGTTTGAAACCTTTGTAGAAAAGTGGTTTTGAAGTGGTCTGTTATTGCCCATTTCAAGACCTACAGATAGAAATAGCGTTCTTTTATTAAAAATGTTTTGGTAATGTCAAACAAGTTGCAAAATTTCACTACTGATTTCTAATTCAATTCAAAATCAAATGACTTTTTTGAGAAAGCCTTTTTTTGCTGCTCTATATACCTGCCTTATGCTTTGTTTCAGTTTTGCAATTATCTTCGATATCATAAAGAAAAAGACGGTTATTGTAGTAAAAAGTTTACATTTTTGCAGTTGTGGAACAAATCATTAATAAACCTATCTCAGATGCACAAAACTAAATATAAAGATATTCGTTGCATTTATAACAAGTAAAAACATTAAGTTCGGCCAGGCCAAATTTTTAATACCCTCTACCTTAGGGTAAAGGAAACATCAGAACCCATTGTGTCCCACAAATACCAATTTTGGTCATATTCGTGGGAAAATGTCACAATATCGGGAGGTACCGTTATATGGGGCTATACAAAAACGTGTACCTATACAAACAATATTTCGGCAACGGAGCTAGAACGCATTAGGACACATAAATACCAATTTTTTGAAAAATCCGCAGAGATTTGGCAAAAATCATCAAAATACTGAATGTTTTGAGGTACCATTATATAGGGGCTATACCAAATCGTGGACCTATACATGCAATGTTTAGCCACCGGAGCTAGAACCCATTATGACCAACAAATACCAATTTATAGACACATCCGTGAAAAAATGTGGTAAAAACCATCAAAATGCCGAATATCGGAAGGTATCGTTATATGGGGACTATACCAACACGTGGACAGATATATATCAAATTTTCTATACCAACCATCCCAGACACAATACAAATTATTCTGCTAAATTTTGACGCTCTACCTCAAATAATGTGGGCTGTATCGATAGATAGATTTCAAAAGACAGACAGACAGACGGACATCGTTAAACGGAATGTCAAAGTTAATATAATTTCCTTTCCAATTGAAGTAATAATCATGACTTTATTTTTACGGAATGGTTGTTATCACATTCCTTCAAATTTTTTGTTCACACACACATGTAAACAATTGACTTGTCCTATTTCAATAAACTATGTAGAGTAATGGGTGCCCTTTACCTTATCTGAGGGTAAGGTTGATTGCATGTGCGTTCTTGTACGTAAACCTAGGACAAGTGCAATTGGAAACAATTTGAGTTTTATGGTATTTACTTAAGAAATAATTTTGGGGTTGTTTCAACAAAACTAGCATAGTCTGTTTAAATAGATATGGATGTTTGAAATGATTTTTCTTAATGGAAAATATTTTGAAGTACTGTACTTCTCTGCATGAATGTTAATAAAATTATTTGATCATCTTTATTTTTAGTTGAGCCTATCGAAATTATGGATTCTTATTGTTGCCCCATTGATAATGAGGGAAATGTTGTGGCAACGCCTAGTATCAAAACTGAAGCTCAAACCGAAACAAAAAGCATGGTTTCGTCGGCAGGAAATATTATATCTACCAAACAGCATGATGTTTACGACAAATCTCTGAAGTATATGGTTTCCAATAGCTACTCAGATGAAAATGATGTTGGATTTATGGATTCATGTGGACAACCAGACGATGATGACGAAGCGGTGCTCAACTATGATGATGAACATACCGTAAATAAAACTAAGACGAGAAAAGGTAGACGGCATTTTAATCCCAATAAAGCAGAACGTTCATACAGAGAATTATATAGTCACCTATTACCACTAAATGAACGGACATTTAAACGTGACCCCTTCACCAATTCCTTTCATTGCAATGTGTGCTCTGTGCAATTTAAAATGCAACGTAACTTAAGGCGACACATGCTCATACATACCGATCTCCGGCCATTCCAATGTCTATTCTGTGAAAAGGCATTCAAACGTAAGGATAATCTACAAAAACATTTTCGAGAAGTTCATGCGGAAAAGCCGTTCAAATGTACCGATTGCGATAAGAAATTTTTCACGTACAAACAATTGGACAAGCATTTGAAAACTAATCGACATAAAGTAATGGCAAACACCTCGCATGTGTTGGGTAATTGAACGACGGTTTAAATATAGTTTTTTTTACACACCAATTGTACAAAATTTACTTCGAAATCTTTGAAATGATTTCTTCAAGAAGCCCAGTAGTTGTATGTCGGCCGTTAAAACAGAATAACAGAAATATCTCTCATTCATTAGTTTGAATATTTGCAAAAGGATAAGGAACAGGACTTTGTATTTATCTACTTAGGTGTACAAAAATTTTTGTGAAAGTGTTCAAATTCTCTTATAACTTCGGAGCAAAAATGCAAGTAAATAATAAGGTTTCATTATGTCAAATAATTCAGAACATTCGAATGTAAATATTTTCCAAATGCTCGATGTAAACTTGATGGATGAACGAGCTATAATCGAGTAATTGCAACATTGACATTGTAGGTCGACTGCTTATTCCAATCCAGTCATCAAAAATGTCAACATCTCAGTCATTATTATTATTATTATTTTAAGTATGCGACATTTTATTTATAATTTACTATATATCTCGAGGGATTTTCCCTGCTTCTACTTAATTGCATTTTCGGATTTATGTAGGTACGTTTAATCGTTTTATTATTATAATTTAATTAATAAGTGCATGTGTCCCAAAATAAAACACCCTTTAAGATATAAATCGGAAGACTTGTGTACTATGTGATTTAATAATATGGATATAAGATGGCATTGGTGCAGGAGGCCACTGCGACAGCATGATGACGTAACAATGGAATTTTTTTTGGCTATGTACGTCGATAGTCAGGCAGCTCTGAGAACACTCAAGCCCTTCACCATCAATTCAATGGGGGTCTTATCATCCATTTTATTTTTTAAGAACTTTAAGTATAAGGGAACAAGTTTATTTATTTTTAACAAGTAAAAAAGCTGTAAGTTCGCCCGGGCCGAAATTTGAATACCCTCCACCATTTGGAACGAAATTGGCAATTCTCAAAAACAATAAAATCCGAATACGACGACATGAACATGCGTAGGTAACATTTGTCATAAGCCATTACAAGATTCAAATGCAAAACTTAAAAAAAAATCGGTAATAATGTAGATAAAATCAAAATACCGAATATCGGGAGGTACCGTTATATGGGGGCTATACGAAGACGTGGACCTGCACAGACAGTTTTCTGTCGTAGGCTGTAGTATCCATTACGAACTTTAAATATCAAATTTGAAACAATTCTGGTTAAAATGTCACTAAAATCATTAAAATACCGAATATCGGGAAGTACCGTTATATGGTGGCTTAACGAAGAGGTGGACCTACACAAACAATTTTCTGTCTTAGGTTGTAGTATCCATTACGAACTTTAAATACCAAATTTGAAACAATTCCGGTGAAAAAATTCGCTAAAATCATCAAAATACCGGATATCGGGAGGTATCGTTATATGGGGGCTCTACGAAGACGTGGACCTGCACAGACAATTTTCTGTCGTAGGCTATCCATTTGAACTTAAAATATCAAATTTGAAACAATTCCGGTAAATAAATTCGCTAAAATCATGAAAATACCGAATATGGGGAGGTACCGTTATATGGGGGCTATACGAAGACGTGGACCTGCACAGACAATTTTTTGTCTTATTCTGTAGTATTCATTACTTACTTCAAATACCAAATTTGAAACTATTTCGGTGAATAATGTCGCTAAAATCATCAACATACCGAATATCGGGAGGTACGGTTATATGGGGGCCATAGCAAAACGTGGACCTACATGGCCCATTTTCAATACTAAATTTCCTGCAGACATAACATACATTCGAGCAAAATTTTATCAATCTACTTCATTTCATTCGGAAGCTAGAGTAATTTCCACAGACGGACGGGCATCGCTAAATCGACATAGAATTTTATGCTGATCAAGAATATATATACTTTGTGGGGTCTGGATTCTCTGTTGTTTCTTGCACGTCCTCAAATAGTATGTCATGATTGATCGTATCAAATGCCTTTCATAGGTCAAGGGCTACCAACAGTGTTCTGTCACACGACTTGTTCTGTTTCAATCCTCTACTAATGTGTGTGGAAATGGCGTTAATACTATTACTATGTTGTGGACGGAATCCGTGCTGATGGTTGGCAACTTCCTCTAATGCTGGGGAGAAGTAAAGCCTCAAAAGTCTTTGTCACTGGCCTTTACTGGCATCCTTGCCTAGCCTCTGTAGCGGGACCAACCGACCCATTTTCCAGGCTTCGGGTATTATGGGTGGCTAGCGACAGGTTGAGAACTTTGGTTTGGTATTCGACTCCCGGCGTATCCAGCTAATTCAGCATTACCATTGAGATTCAGTCTGGGCCGAACGCTTTGGATGACTTACCGTTCGGGATTACATTTGCAACACCACCCTTCGTAAACTGTTGTGGTTCCCCCCCCCCCCCCCCCCCCCCCTCTCCCTCGGCGGGAAGAAATCTGATACGACGTAGTACTCCTCGTTTCGCCCTGTCGCACTCGGGGTGCTCGACAAATTGTCGGTTAAAATACCCAGCGCACCTCTTCGGATCAGTCACCGTTACAAGTGAGTCATCCTTTTTCCAGTGTTGGAGAGCGACTTAGCCGTTATCGGTGCAACACTTCAGATTGTTTAGCTACTTTTTCCTCTCATGCTCCTGTACCCACCGGTTGACTTCCACTGTCAAATCACTGATTCTAGGATCAGTAGGGTTGGTACGACGGAGATCATCACTTTTTTGCTAATCTCCAGCAGGTATATAGCGAGCGGCTGCAGCTTTGATTACGTTTCGGAAAATCCTTTCTGCTATCCGAACATCAGAAGGGTTGGGCAGTTCTCTGAAGCGGCTGTTGGTGAATTATCCAGTGAGCATTCTCATGGTTAAGGAAAGTGCGACGTTCAGAGGTTATGAAATCGGGCGACCTGCTTTTGGAGACGATTATCGGGAGATGTTCTGAGCCAAAAGAAATGACGCGTTGCCAAGTGGGAAGTGTTCCCGTTTTTGGGCAGACAATACGATTGTGATATTAGTTGTGGAAAGCGTTTTTTCTCAAACTAGACTTGGATGTGATTTTTTTTCAAAAACATTTGAGTTAGCATAGTGACGTTTGTTTTCATCGTCGATAACCGGGCATGTTTGTGACATTTTTACGCGTGGATCAATATTTTTTTCGATATTAAATAAAAGAATTTGGTCTCTTGTTTTCTCAGCAAAGGTCTAAATTCTAGTACAGTCCCAAAATAACACTTTACATTTCGATTGCTTCCACAGATATTGCTGTAATTTTTTAAAGCTATGCCCAAAGATTCCACCAAAAGAATCACTTGTTTTCAAAGTATATATACGATAAAAATAAAAAAGCTCAGTGTGATTTTATACATTTTATTAAAAAAAAACCTTATCAATAGCACATTTATTTTTTTAAAAAGTTATGTTCAATTTGTGTCTCTTAAAAATTATTAAATAAATATTAATGAGGGACGGGTGGAATCATCTAGAACTGGGTGTCAAGAACATATACAACATTTCTTAGTTAAAAGGTCAATATCTACTTGTTATTTGTATGTTTGTGGTCATATCAGTTTATAAAAAAATACATGGAATTTCTAAAAAGTTTTGAAATTTCATTATTTTTGACGTTCTCTGAAAAATTGTGGTAAAAATTTGTGTGTGTGATATCAATTTAGCTTTCAAAACTTTGAAGAAAATGTTTAACTATTTAAATGTCATGACGAATTATTGAGTTGAGAGTATATGTTTGTAAGTGAATATCTGATGGCCCATTATTTCTAAGATATCATAACTTTAAAGCACACTTTTAAAAAATGTACTTCAAACATAAAAAAAATAAAAACAAAAGCAAAACGTAAATAAGCGTACAATACATTAATTGAAATTGCAATTGAGCCATAAAGATTAAAAAAATTACAATAAACCCTCTTATCGGCAATTTGTCTTACGGTACCCTCTCGAGTGGAACATTATGGCTCTTTTCTATTAATACAATCTGAATACTTAGAAATAAGCAAAAATTAAAATAAATATAAGTGTGTAAAACTACAATTTCTCCACTGGATATGAAATTCAAAGAAATTAATTTGTTATTTGGATTTGTAACGAGAAACACAAGATGTAAACGACATTGTTTTTTTTTCAAATGCTCTCTTAAAATTGATGTTATGCATATAAAGCAGAATCCTCAAATTACAAGTTAAAAAATTATTTCCAATTACAAAGGAAAATTTGTAGTTTTACATCGATTTTGAAGATTTCTAGTGGTGAACACGTTTTTCCATTTAAAACGAGAAATGGCATTAAGTTTTTTAATTTGAAAAGCTAAAAGCTCAATAAGAAATTTCACATATATAGTTCTGAAGATCAATTCATACTGCTGTAGTCATGAAAAGTGGCAAAATTAATATATACTTTCAGTAATTTAATGGCAAAGGATATAAATACCTATTTTGCCAGATATAAACGAAATTATGTTGTTTTGGAATAAACTTTCAAACAGCATTTAAGCTCTGGTCCACACTATTTCTTTCTTCAAAATCATGCCGTTGTACATATTACAAGTGTCATTATTATGAATTAAAACAAAACCAACATAGAATAAGAAACCTAACACCAAATAAAAAACAAAACGGAATAAATAAGTCAATTTCCAGAAGAACGAAGGGCAGCATTTGGCCTCTTTGAGGCAATGGCAAATTATTCGTATTGAGCATGTAGTAAATTATTAATTTCATCCATTGAAAATTGATTTTTCGTAAATTTTAAAAACCTAAGAGAATTTGATTTGCATTATTCTTCTTGTTCTTCTGGAAACAAACCTTGGGACTGAAATTACTAATTAATTTGTCAACTTAAATTATAATGGGTAAATTTTTTGTTGTCAACTTACGACCCGTCGAACATGATACGGGCGAATGATGATGCGTGTTTGTTGGTGTTCTTGCCAAATTTGTGATACTGCCATGATGTGTGGCATTCTGTTTGGACGGCGTACGACTTGGTGGTGGTCGTGGTCTCGGCAGCTTTGCCAAACGGGCATTTTCATCCATTACCACTTGTTGCATACGTCGTGTCCTGGTTGTGTTGCTACTGCTGCTGCTCGATGAATGATGACCAATGCCTTGAATAATTGATGATCTAGATGCTGGTTCTATGCATTTTTGGAAAGAATCATATGTATCGTCGCCATTGTAATCCGTGGTGTAGCCATCAGATGAATGACATTCCTGCACCACAATGCGAGGAACGTTTTTCGTCATTGAACTATTTTTATTGATGGATCTACGTTTCTTCAAGCCATTACTTTGACGACCACTGCGTCGCCTGATGGTAGTTCCAATTATTTTCGTTTTCTTCATTGGTGATTTGAATGTGGAGACTTTTGATGCGGACCCCAGCAGTTTACTCTGCTGTCCCGTGTTTTTTGTTGTGGAGGGCTTGAGAAAAACACTGGGACTATTCAAAGCTTGCATTAGACTTCGTTTGGCCATGGGCGTAGCACGATCCGTGGGAAGTCTTCGCTTTTGCGCAGACAATGCCGGCTGTGAGCTGAGATTAGTTGTGGAGGGCGTTTTTCTCAAACTCGACATGGATGTGGCATTTTTCAAGGACATAGGTGTACGCATAGTGGTATTTGTCTTCGTCGCCGATGGACCTGGCGTCTTGGAGGCGTTTTTACGTGCCGACTGCAATTGTTCTTTATCCTTGCGTTTTCTATCCCATTGCTTAGCCATATATTCAATGATATTTTCACCATAAACCAGGAATGGTGAGTGTTCTCTTTCCTCATATTCCCTAACTAAATCGCTGATTTGTTGTTCAATCTTAGGTAGCTTAGTGGCAATTGTTTTACGTTCTTTTTCTTCTTTCAGCAACTGGCCACCTCTGTTATTATAACGTCCCGGCTCCGAGGCCTTTGCCTCTAAAGCTGCCATCCGATCCCACAAAATATTACGATCTGCAAACAAATCATAAATCTGTTTATTGGTCTCATAATGGTGTTTGCAGTCGGCCAGTTCCAGTTCGTGCAAGTCCAACAAGTCATCAGTGTAACAACTGGAGGTAAACGCCGAAAATCGTTCTCTCTGTTTGTCACTCTTCAAACACTTGTCCCACCAGACACTAATTTCATCTCGTATCTGCTGGACATACAGTTTGATGTTCTGGCTCTTCAGTTGTTCACAGCGTTGCAGTTCACTGTAGAATACATCGTAGGTATGCTGGTTGTAGTCCTTGTAACGATTAAATTTGTGGCGTGTATTTGGCGAGGTTTGCAGACGATCCCAAAGAGTACTAATTTTATTACGCATACCATCTATGGTCTCTCGTAACTCCTGCACTTGTGATCCAAAGGTGTCGTACATTCTCTTCAGGCCATTGAAGGTTTCCTTATTCATTGGAATTTCACGATGATTGAGCAAACGATCCTCCGTTTCAGTATTAACTTGTAAATCCAAAATTTGTAGAAAATTCTTAATATCCCTACGCATTGTGGACACTCGATTTAAACGCTCGGATCGTTCCTCCCTCAGCCTCTCAAGATGTTGTCTAAATTCTTCAATTTCTTCCGCCGTGGGCAAAGGATCTGCTAAAAGCGCACGTGGTGGTTCACCTAGCTCCTCACACAAGGCTTCCTGCTCCAACAACAATTCACATATTTGGTCTTTTCGCAGTCTCAACTGCTCTCGCAAATCCTCCAAGCTTTTATCCAACTCCGATTGCACCCGCAGCAATGGCACATTTTCCATGTCATACGTTGGCAACTCAACATCCACATTGAGCAATCTTTTTAGATTTTCCGCCTCCCTTTTCAAGTCATTAATTTCTCCTTCGATATAGGATTTTCTCGTCAACGATTCCTCGACCAATTCCTTGTAGAAATTATTGGCATGCTCTACCAATTTGCGCAAGTTTTCTCGACACACATCCTGTTCGAATAGTTGCTCCCATATCTTGGTGATCTCACCAACATACTTGTGCGTCAGAAATTGCATTTCTTTACATTCCTTTTCATAGTTAGCCATTTTATTGTTGTTGTAGTTTAAAAGACATAAAAGGAAGATGAAAATTACTTTAGAATATGGAGAATCCAATTTGTTGTTTTCGAATAGTGTCTTATGAAGGAATTTTATACGAATTTCTTGCTTTAATCCAAAAATTATTGCCGGCGCAATACGCTCGTTTCGTTTAAAAAGTTCAGTTGACAAATAATATGAAGAAAATTTTGAAGTAAATGCCGCCGCAACGCTGAATACCAACAGAGTCGTATTTAAACAGAATTCAGCAATCAACATACCAGGGTTGATAATACAAGCCTTATATGTCGATAGTGGAGTTATTGGTGACGTGACGTGCGATGTGTACAGTACATTTTATACCAGCCAAAAAACACAATGTTCCAATGCCCTTTTTTACATCTCCATTTTATACTCTGGCTTTTTTACTTTAGAAAAAGTAAACGATAAGGTTTTCTTTATTACATTTTTCATTAAAAAAAACATGAATTTCTTCAGAGATATGGCAAGCATTCTGTAAATGAGACTGGTAGTCACTGCATTTTTTACCGTGGAATCTTTATTTTAAAATTAAAAATAAGACAAAAGCGAATTAGCAATTAATTTTTTAAATAAATTATTAATTTAGAAATTCAATAAAAACTTGTCTAATTGTTATTTGAATACATGTTGCTATTATTGCATAATTATCAATATGGAGCATGGCAACATGAATTCAGTAAACTTTACGTTAAAATCATTGTATAAGAATACAAGAAGTCGCATGGACACAGCTGCTGGAACAATAAACTGTCAAACAAATTTTTAAATTGAAAATTTTGAATGAAAAGTTATCCAAATTCGGTAAAATTGTTCAAAATGCATATCTTAAGAACGACGCCAACGTTTAAGAAAATATTTAAAAATCTATCTTTTTTTAAGACATTTTAAAATGTTTTATATAACAATGTTCCCATGCGTTGATGCATCTTCCTGCATTCTTCTACCATGACTAAAATATAAAGGAAAGGTGGTCTGACCTTTTGTGTCCGATAGCTTCATATTTAAATGTAACTTGTAATAAGGAAAAACAATTTATTTGTTCGACATCAGCATCCATGAATCGTCCATCAACTTCTTCCTCAGAGAGCAAGGTTATTTGATTTTAAAAGGCTATGGTCCGTTCTTATATCAATAAATCTATAATTTAGTTCTTCAATATAAAATAACCGATTAGGGTTATCCATTTTTTATGTAAATAAATGTTGTTGTTATTGCCATATTATCAATATAAAATATGACAACATTAATTCAGTAAACTTTACGGACACATAGGTCGTTTTTCGTTATTACAAGACTCATTTGAATATAAACTGTTCGATAAGCAAAAGGTCAGACCTTCTTCTATTTATCTTTTAGCGTAAAGTTTACAGAACTCATGTTGCCATATTTTATGTTTAAAATATGGCAATAACAGCAAAAATAATTGAAATAAAAAAATGGATATCGTAAATTGTTTATCTAATATTGAGAAACTAAATTATAAATTTATTTCACAAAATTAATTACAAATAATTTTTGTTTATTATTTTTAAACTAGAATTAAGATGGCATTTTGAAGAAAATTCAGCGACTACCAGTTACTTCTACAAAAAGCTTGTTATACCTCTGTAAAAAATACGTATATTTTAAAGGAAAGGTGTAATAATGAGAACCCGATAATGTGAACTTTATCCTTCACTTTTCCTAAAGTAAGGGATAACAAAACTGGACTATCCAGGAAAGATATAACAACTGTCCTATTTAAAACTATAAGACTTCAGCACAGAGTTGAATTTTTCTAGTTTCTTTGAAGTTGAGCAACCTTTCTTATTGAACCATGGATACATCTACCTGTATTCATCTAAGCAATTAATATGGGTAATCCGGATAACATTTGGGATCTAAGCACAGCATAAAACAGTTGAAGAATAAAATATGTTCTGTTCCAAAAACTGTAAGAATCTACAATATCTGATTTTTTTTATTTCATAAAGAGAAAATCGGTTGTATGTAGTTGTAAAATTTTGTATATTATTGCAGTTCTGACCAATAATCAAAACTCTGAAGAATTGTTATAAAAAATAACATACCACATGCATTTTTTACGCCGTCAAATTTCTCTGAATAAAAAAGAGGTTCCCATCTCTAATTTCTGTGTATACAATGGATTTCTAATTATAAATTTTGACAATGAAATGTGGTCAACCGAATAATTTTGAAAAAAATGGTAAATATATGATGGCATTACTTTACCTTCTTAATTCTACCATGCGAAGATCGTCTCTACATTTTATTTTTGCAATGTAAAGTAAGCATAGGAGCAACGCAGGATAAGGTATGAAACTGTATAATTGGCATATTTCTTGAAATGGGGAATCAAGAACGAAACCAACTTTATATATCTGGCTGTTGTAAACATGTTACAAATATCATATTTTAGCGATTTATTGTGTGTGAATTTCAAAATATTTACTTCTCTCAAGAAAAATTGCTTTCATAAAAGTTTCTGCTGGTAAATCTTTATTCATATTTTGCACAGAGAAAGGACTTTCGTCAAAATTCCAAAGAAAGTTTACACTATCGCTTTTATTTATTATATTTTTTAACAGTTTTGTGTGCAACTGTTCTAAATAATCTATCTCTTAACGAGTTATTTGGCCATTTCATTATAACCAATCCTTTTTCATGCAGGAAGAGTTCAAAAATCTTTCTACCATTACCTAAAAAATAGATTGTTATTTGAGGCAAAATTAATTTATATTTAAATTTATGACAAAATAGTTTTCAATAAAGTTTTTCATTAAAATCATTTATATACTAATTGATACATGGACATTTATGTACTACTACAATGAATTTAATATAAAATAAAAATAAATCTTTTCATGAAGTTATTTATTTAATACCAACAAATATCTTTGACAGTTTTGTTAAAAATCCTTCTAAATTTCCGAAAAGAAAAATCATTGCAAAGTTTGTTTAGTATATTTCCGTTGAAACCCATAAATACTTGAGAATCAAAAACGCAAAGAGGAATTGACGACACATACAAAAAAAACATCCCCCCTCAGCTTAAATCATTGTTCAGTGTTGTCTCACACGTAGGGCTTTATCTCAAGGGACAAAAATATTTTTGCTTTTTAATTTAATTTTACATATCGTAAATTTAAGAACAAAAATCGTAAATTTTAGTGTTTTAATTTTTGGTTATAATTTTGGGTAAACACCTATATAAAAATATTTTGTTTTATTATTATTATTTACAAAAAAAAAAAAAAAAAATATGTACTTATTTATAAGCAATTAAAATCTGGAAAATATATATAAACGGTTCAATATATTTTCTCTGAATATGTATTTATGTTTTAATAATTTGGACTTATATGAATTTAAGGGCCTATTGTTGTATGATTCCAAGGTGAACTCGGAAGATCACCTGTTTTTTGTATGTTATAGAAATGGTGTTTTCCATTCGATATCACTTTCGTATCGTTATAAAGAAACAGACCCTCAGAGTCGTAAACTTTTTTCATTTGATACAAAGAGTACACTTGGTACTAAGTTATTGAAAAATGCAAATCTATATAACAATTTTACGAAGGAGCACAAAAGGAAGACAAGAGAACCCTTGCGATAAGTCCCTTCTTCTGAAACAACGCAAAGATTTTCTTTACCTCTCTCTTCTACTATATTTTGACACACACAACAACTCAACCACACACAACCAAACATAGCTCTGTTGAAAGAGACGACTGGTACGATTTTGTATTGGCAGCTCTCTCTCCTCTCACAGTTAAGTCCCAACAGTCAAAGCGCGCAGACCAGATTTTTGTGTCGTCGTCGCTGTGTATTTTAACAAGAAATAATAAGCAAAAAACATTTAATTAAACACAGCAGTACTTACAGACCTCAGAAATATTTTAAATACGAAATGATTCATTGAAATTGTGATTGAAATTTAAAAACGGAAAAAATTAACAAAAATGTATTGAAATTTTACATTGCATTGCAAGAATAAAATGTGTGATCTCCGCTGAAATTCACTGAAATTAATGAGGAAAAAAAGGAAATTACATTAAAGAGGTCGTTTTGTGGCTGATTTAAAAAAGAAAATAAAATACATAGAGCATAGTTTGTTGTGTGTGTGAGGAGGAAGAAAGAACGTCGACGGCGAGGAAAATACAGATTAAAGCAAAAAAATAATAGAGCTGCTTGGGTTCGCTCTATCTCCCTCTCGGTCGCTCTTACACCGCTCACATTAGAATGTGTGAGGGTGATAGCTGCCGTCATTTTGTAAACACAGTCACAGCAGTGAAACAAACAACAAAAACAAACACAAGAACACCATTCAAAAGGGAAGAGTGCAAATGTCAAGTAAATTTCTACATAAAAACGACATCTAAAGAGAAAGACAAAAATACCAATAACAAAAACAACAATTTGTCGTTTCGTAAATATAAACAAAATGCAAACCTTAATAAACAACAACGTCATGGGCAACAACAATGCCCAGGAGCAGCAATATCCAAATCTCCACCAGCATCATATAAGCCAAGATATCCTGCCAGAACAACAGAATCCTCAGCAGCATCATCATCATCCTCATCAGGGTTATACCCATATGCCTTCCACAACAGCAACAACAATGCCAGTTTCCTCATCGTCAATAACACCGCCTTTAACATCCTTGAACGAAGGTCTTTATACCCCCATTGTGACGTCAGATAGTTCATCTCAGTATTGTAGTAGTTCAGAGGTATCATTACTGAATTGTAATACCACATCCACATCACCTGGTGGTTCCAGTTCCGACACCAATTCCAACTGCAGCTTATCACCAAATTCTTCAAATTCCAGTTTATCCGAAAAGAAATCAACACCATCGATAGGTGTTAATTTGCGTGTAACGGGCCAATGTAGTCAAGGTGGTCGTAAATATATGGAAGATTACTTCTCGGTAGCCTATCAACAATCGGAAAATGCCAAAGATTTGGAATATGCCTTCATTGGTATCTATGACGGTCATGGTGGGGCCGAAGCAGCTACATTCGCCAAGGAACATCTAATGATGGAAATAATAAATCAACGATTATTTTGGTCTGATTCGGATCATGATGTATTGCGAGCCATACGTGAAGGTTATATTGCAACACATTATGCAATGTGGAGGGAACAAGGTAAGTTAGGAAGAGATAAATTAGAAGGAATAATAAAATACATTCCACTTTTCAATATCGGATAAGTTATATTAAGGACTTTATATAATGGACTGACTGACTAGCATAAACATAAGAATATTGTGTATTTTCCCTAGACAGTTTTAATGTTAATGCTTTGGATGCATATTTTGCTTAAAAGGGTTATATGTTTCGCCTAGAATCGCATCCAAATAGTGCCAAAATTAATTTTCCCTACAATACCATCTCTTGGAAAAATGTTGAATATATAACAACTTTCAAATTCATTCCCACAGTTTTCGGGAAAGTACATACTCGTTGTGGTTTTTATCTTAATCAAAACCTTAAAGGTTTGATTTGAGAAAAAATACTTTTTACACCTGCAAATGTAGAAAAATTCGAACATAAGGCTTCTTCAAGTTGAAACAAATTGGTTAAAGTGCACCTATTTACCAAAGAACTAGGTAGAACACCGAACCTATATTCAACTATAAGAGTCTGCTTTCTGTACATTTCAAATGTCAAATCTGATTGTATAGAAAAAGTCCAGAGAAAACGTAATCGTGTTGCAATCGGCCAGTATAAAATCTTAAACATAAAAGGTGTTAAGAAACTCTTCAGTTCGATAGCAAACCTATAGCAACGACATAGAAGTTAAGCAGACTCTTCTACCTGATATAAGCCTCTTGAAGTCTCAATAGGTCAAATGGAGTTTAGTGGTGGTTTAATCGGCTATATTTTACCTCTTCCGACTTGCTATAAATACTGATAAATATAAATAGGGCTTATTCACTAAAAGAATACGAAATTTTAATTTTGATACGATAACTTTTAGTCCACTTTTTTTATATATAGTTCTTATGTATACCTGGTCCTTTTGGGTATTATATCTCATATATGGATATAAATGTCGACTTTGTAGCTGGGATATTCATCGAAATAAGATTTGAGGTATACCAAAAAGTACAAAATGGTTAAAATCATGCCTAAAGGAAATGTTCTACAATGCCAATCCTGAAGCTCAGTAGGAAGTGCCATTAAAAAATCTAAAATCTAACTAACAGAACAAAAGAACTCAAGCTTAAGAGCTCAAATCAAGTAAAGTATTGTTTTCTTGCCAGATGTCGGCACCACTTTCAGATTGTCGGTGGGCATTTCCTATATTTCGGTATACCTATTTGCAAGGAAAAAATATATTTTTTTAACTTGTCCATTTTTATTTTAAATGTTAAGTTTAATCAATATAAAATAATTAGATAAATGAATATAAACATGGGATATAAAACCTTTAACGATCTTAGGACCGTTGTAATCCTTTAGTCGACAGGTCGGCCAACTCACTTTGAATAGATTTCAGTTTTAAAATGCTGCAAATAGAGGATAAACACTCCCTCACTAAAAAATACAAAATCACTCTTCACCAATAATTGTCATTTACCACGCTTCCAAGAAGTTCCGAATTGCTTCTTCACCAGATCTTGCAGATATCTTTTCTATTCCCATTGTACATAACTTTATAGCTGTGACTGTTCTTTAAAATCTTAAGGCGAAAATTAACCATCTGACGATAATTATTTTTTAAATATGACCCCAAAAATTTCTAGAGTAAATTAATGGTAGAACTAAGAAGGTAAAGTAATGCAATCATATGTTTACAATTTTTCAAATTTTTACCTTTGACAACATCTCATTGTCAAAATCTATATTCATAAATCCGTAGTATATACAGTAAATCGGATATGGGAACTGTTTTCTATGCAGTGACATTTGACAAGGTAAATTACAGAAAATGCAGAGCTGGAAATGCATATTTGAAATGAGGTTACCTTTATTTCATTGTACCATGAGTCAATTTTTGGGCGTCTATATATTATATGTCCAGAAAAAACTACGAAATATATGATATAAGTTTTTACTTTTGTACCTACAACAAGTATAAAAGTATATGTCTGTTCCCAGTAAAGTAAAAACTATTAGAGCTTTTTCATCTATAATGTTTCCGATTATTTGATTAAAAATTATACGTATCATAATTTCACTTATTTACTTGTACACTTATTTATTTCTATGGAAATAACCATTTTTCTTTTCATGCTTTTTACTTGGTATTATTTTTTCTTATTCGAATTTCCGTTTCCTCCAATTACCGCTAAATTTGATTTTCAATTCCATGGCATTTCATTATCTTGCCGTTTCATATGTCATGCCAACCAATAAATTAATCATTGCGCGCCCATTTAAAACAACAATAACACAATTCGCAATGCCCAGTCAACGAAGCTCAGCCAACCCAACATAAATAGTCAACCTTTGGTTTTAACACTTCGTCTATTTGGCGCTATAATACACAATTCAAAGAATAAACGAACCAAAAGACAACAGAACTGTCAAAGTTTTTTCTATTTGCATTCATTCAGTCAGTCAGTCCGTTAATGCATTTCATTTCGCTGCCGAATGTCATTTTGTCCGTTTTTGGTGGTGATGCTGTTTTGCTACAGTTTTAGTTTCCTTATTCTCCTCACCATTCACCACATCCAACCCATCCTACTCTTTTTTGGTACTTTTAATCATAGACCACAACCTTTATGCATGCATTCTCAAAACTAAACCGCTAAATTGGTACAACGTCGTGTGGTATTATCTGCTAATATACAACACACGAAAATAATTTCAAAAGTTGTTTTTAATCGTGTTTCGAGACAACAACGACGACGACGACAACAGCCAGCAGCAGCATTATAAAGTTAAATTTGTATAAGAAAACAAGTATATGACGCCGTCAACGAGGGCAAGCAGGCAACAACAATAAACGGCCAAGGTGGTATCACACAAAGCAACGACGAATTATCGTTACTTATATAAAACACAAACAGTCAGTCCAACCAACCAACCAGCCAAGCATTGTAATCATCATCGCCATCACAAACTGGCAACGGAAAAAATCCAATTTCACCACCATTCGAAATGCCTCGGCTGGCATCTGGCTGCTTTTAAGTATTCGTTGTTGTTGAATCGATTCGATTTTCAAACGTATACCTACATTTTTTGAAATTGTATACACACAGTTCAGCTACTCTGCTGTGTTGGCTTTTGTGGGTTTTCTATCTACAGGCAACATCTAACCATTTATATGGGCTTGGTTGGTTTGGTTTATTATAAGCATTTTGTTCGTTGCGCTGTCTACTGCTCTCTACAGCAGTTTATTTTACCCATTTCTATGGCATTTAAAAAATGAAAATATATGAGGTATTTCTCCCCTCTTTATATTTTGCCGTTTTCTTCTTTTTCATCATCGTCATTTGCCTTATAAAAGTCACGTATACCTAGCAAAGAGTTGCCACTCTGCAGCAAATTTGTATTTAAAAATTATAATAGGTTTAATTTTCCCTATCGCACTCATCCGTAAATCAATAAAGCAATGGCATCGCCTACCATTTTTTTGTTTCTTTGAAATGTCAGGTTTCTTACATGATTACCTTGAAGTTCAGGTTTTGTTAAAGTGGCAACCCTTAAATACAAAATAAAAATTGTGAAACTTGTATATGACAACGGAACGGCGGCGTTGTTTTTCTGTACCTAACTCAACCCCAGCCAGCTGCATTAAACAGTGGAATATTCCCAAAGTGCCAGCCATACCATACGATGCCATACTGTTCGTTTTCGGGGTTCGTTCGTTTTACTGTTGTTTATTCTTCGCATTCGTTTGATGATAATATGCAGGGTTGGATGTTTGCAATTATCATAATATTATTATTATTAGTGTAGGGCTATGCTGTCACGGAATTCAGTGATAATGCAAAATACACTCTGCATTCAAATGAAGTATTGCAAAAGGACATGTTATAAACTTTGTTATAAAAGTTATAAACTTTGGACATATGTGTAAGGTGTAATTACAAGTAAAATAAAAGAAAATTAGAAAATATTGCTGGATTGCTGCTCTTGTCGGGGTCCAAAAGGCCACATATTAAATATTACATTTTAACAGCTCACTGCATTCCTTTCTGGTCAAAATTTGTTAGAAATATCCAAGGGTTCATCCAAAATCAAAGAAATATGTTATTGCGTTTTTGGAAGTAAAAACTGAAGAAATGTTCTACAATATTCAACTTCCATGCATGTAGTAAAGGAACTTGCGATTTAGATTTGTCTGCTCAGAAGTGCGACCCTAACTCATTAGTTGAGTTCCCGATTTATATTGATAATAATGGCAATAAAAAATAAAATGTAACATTTTATAAAGACAGTATTTTCCATTTAATGTATTCGTAGAACAATAAATTATTTCATGAAATTACTCGTGTGTAGGTCGGAGCTTTAAAGGATTGCCATTTCAGGATCAGAGTTAAGAAGAAGTGTTCATATTTATTAGTTTAGCTTATTAACTCCGTTCTTTCAATGTATTGTATGTTTCATGTATTCTTTTCGTATGGAACGATAACGACTCATATTAACGTTTCAAACTGTTATCAATGCATATGGTTTGTTTTTTCATTGCAATCATGTTTTCCTGTCATCGATTGACAACGGTAAATGATACCTAGCAACAACATTTCGTTTAGAGGTTATGCCTTCGAATACAAAATTTCCATCCCTGTCATGTGTATACCTACAATAAAGTTGTGCTGAAATAACGATGACAACGGCAATGAATACTACTTTTTCCCCATTTCATGCACAAGCAAAACCAGCCAGGCAGCACAACACTGCACAGTGTTGTGTATATAGCGTATATTATTTGTATACGGGTTCATTTGAACGCTTTATTTTTATATACCACCACCACAGCTGCCATTATTTTGCCTTGCCTTGTTTTGCTTTGCTTGCCTGCCTGACAGTCAGTCTCCGTTGGTGGGTTTATAATGGCGATGAGAATTATCGTACATTCTTCTTTGTTCGATAATTCGTTTCGTTGATTCGTTTTCTTGTGTTGAACAATCGACGACCAATGTAGCCGTCAGCCAGCAAAGTTGTGTGGTGGTATATTTAGTAGGTTGTCTGTTCGTGTGTGTGTGTGTACGTATGAATGCTTGTGAGGTATATGGTGTATTTGATACTTTTGTTTTTCTGTTGTGAGATATGGTGGTGGGGATTTTTTGCTTGTTATTGAGTTTACATAAGCCAGTCACTTTTAACGCTGGCTGGCAAGTCAGGCAAACAGGCAGGCGGCAACATCGTTTGTGTATACCATCGGTGTGAACGATGTTGTTGCTGTTTTTTCGTATTTGTATTTATTTCTTCATGAGTCAGCCCGCCAGTCATGGTTAAACTGAAAAATTGTGTTTCATTTTTATGAAAGCGTACCACACACAATATAAAATGTTGTTATACAGAAAAATGTTTAAATTGAATTTCTCAACAGGAAATTATGGATTGTTTTTTACTTTTAAATTTTAGATTTCTCTAGAAATTTATTTATTTTTTATACAAGTAAAATTAGGATGCTGAGAATTGAAACTTTCACTAGTTCTTCCTGTGCTAGTCCCATGAATTCATATTCGAATTATTGTGATTGTGGACCCTAAGGTTTCTGAGGAACTTGCAATTTTAATCTCATTATTCCGTTAGGTGGATAGAGAATTTTAAGAAACTTGCCAACAGATTTAGCTTCCCCTTTTTATAATGATGTCAGTACCTACTAAATGACAAATTAAATTACAGAATCTCACTACAAGCAGATTTGTTTGTTGACTGGCTGTGATTGCCTGTTTTAAGTTTATCCCCACTGATTTGATTGCTTCGATTTTCGCGCTTTATTGACACTTGATGGATGTTTTAGTGTTTATGGTCGCTGCTGTTATAAAATTCACCTCTTTTCCAAGATTCTTGCTTTGTTTTTTTATTTTGTTTTCCTCTTTTTGTTTACTAGGGTAACGCATTATTCTTCCAACTTACCTCCCCCAAATCTCCCTCCATTATTGTTTCGTTGTACCTACCTCATTCCCAATAGGCGGCTGCGGCTAATCAAAACAAAAGTTTGGCATTTTTTGTTTTGATTATCTCAATTTGCCGCTACTTCGATGATTGTTTTCGTTTTTTTTTTTTTGTTATGTTCCTTCTTCATGTAAGATCCCCTACCCCCGTCGCACGTATTATTATGGAAGAGGAAAATTAAACTTTGCATGCAATATGTTTAGGAAATAAATGGCGCGCTTATCATTTGTTTATCATTGAATGTGACAATAGGGCTCTACTAGTTTTCTTCAAATTTGGAAAATAAAGTGTTTGTTGTTGAAGGGCCGGGAATTTAAGACGTTCCCCTATGGAAGTTTCCAAATTTTGTGGAATGAAAGCAAAAAATGTCGGAAATATCATCAAATTTTTAAATAAGTCTAGATTTGTTCGAATTTTTCACCTTTGGCACGAATTATGGCCTTCAAACGGTCACGCTGCCCAAATGATGCTCTGCGGTATTTTGGCCCATTCCCGGCGTAGCGCTTGCTTGGGGTAATTGACACTTTGGTATTTTTTAGAGCCAACCTTGCTTCCCAAAATACTCAAGACACAATAGTCCAACGGATTGGTATCCGGAGATTTTGGTGGCCATTGTTCGCCGGAAATGAAGCGAGGAGCCTCATTTTGTAACCATTCTTGGGTGGCGCGTGCTGAGTCCTGTTCGAATGTCCAAGGTCTGCGGCCAAAATGTTTGCGTGCCCAAGGCTTTAATACACCCTCCAGAATATTTTCACGATAATATTCTGCATTTTTTCTGATGCCCTGGTCGATTAATACGAGCGAAGAGCGACCCACACCATCACCATGGCCGTGGCCAACCGAAGGTGCACCTTTTCAGCTGAAGTCTTTGGCACTAAACATGATCATTTTGTTTGTTTACAAACTGCTGGACAACGAATGTTTTCCATTCGGAGAAAACCAAATTCGACAGTTCACCACTTTTGTCCAAGCGAAGCAACTCTAGCTCTTTTGAGTCTACCAGTATCACGGCACGAGACGCAAAAGATTTATTCACATTTAAATGATGGATTGCCCTAACGATACCCAATTGTGGTTTTCCAACCAAACATAAAGAAATCACACTATCACGCTTGAATTCCATCACGAATAACTTTTTCCTGGAAAGTTTTCACCAAAATGCTTTTGTACGCTTGTAAAAAATATAATGAGCTGTTACTGGAATAATTTTAACAGCTCTCGGACGAGTGGGTTAGAAATGACAGCAGTCTAAAATTGGTTTGCAGTTTTTTCATCTGACCCTGTATTCCCTTTGTTGGACTGAAACCATTGGGAAATTAGACAATCTTTTAAGGCCCTTGCACGGAAATTATTCACTTCTGGTAGAAAAATGTAAATATAGGGCCCTGGAGATACTGCTGATAAAACTTTCAAACTCATCGATGAAAACCAGACTAGAGCAAATAGTGAGAAACTGATATAATTTTTACATTGCAGTCAATCAGACAACTATAGTAAATTACGTAGGATCAAAGTCGAGAAAAAGGTTTAGGCTGGACCATACCTAAAAAAAATTGGTACTAAGATTGTTTAATACGTTTAATAACTCAGTCCGGTTCCAATTGTAAATCTATTTTACCTATATTGCAACTTTTTTCTATGATACTAGGATTTAAAATTTAACAGTGAGATTATTTGGGGGATTATTTGTATCAACAAATATTACATTCTATCCATACCATATTTCCATTATATTCCAGCAAATTATTTAATTTTCTTTGTTTTCTTTAACAGATAAATGGCCAAAAACTGCCAATGGTTTGCCCAGTACAGCAGGTACAACCGCTACAGTAGCCTTTATAAGGCGTGAAAAAATCTACATTGGACATGTAGGAGATTCCGGTATTGTATTGGGCTATCAAAATGAAAATGAAAATTTCTGGAGAGCCAAACAATTGACGGTTGATCATAAACCCGAATCTGTGGAAGAAAGAAACCGAATTATGAAATCAGGTGGCAAAGTAGTTGTTAAATCTGGTGTACCTCGAGTTGTGTGGAATCGTCCAAGAAATGGTGAGTCTCAAATATATGGGGCTTCAGAACTAGTATCAATATTAACTTTATTTCCATTACATTTACAGCAAGTCATCGTGGTCCCATTAAACACAAGACTCCAGTCGACGAAATCCCATTCTTGGCTGTGGCTCGCAGTTTAGGTGATTTGTGGAGCTACAATTCGGAACGCAATGAATTTGTTGTCAGTCCTGATCCAGATGTTAAAGTAATACCCATTAATCCCAAAACATTTCGATGTCTAATATTCGGCACCGATGGCCTTTGGAATGTGGTCACGCCACAAGAAGCGGTGAATACTGTTCGAGAAAAAGAGGTGATAAATGAACGTTTACAAGCCCAGCGCGGTGATTGTCCTAATGAGGGCCAACAATGGACAAATCCCAGTAAATCATTAGTCGATCAAGCCCTATCGATGTGGTCATCGAAAAAGATGAGAGCCGACAATACCTCTGTTGTAACTGTGATACTGTATCCACCGGGTCAGGGTGTCCACAACACAACAAATCAGATACACAAGGATGTGGGAAGCGCAATAACGACACCACCAGCATTTATACAACCTGCCAGCTATGGACTCGAGTATACGCAGGTACATGCGGAGATACCCACATATGATGACGCCACTACTTACAAGGAAATGGCAATGAAGTATTTACCGCCGGAGGAATATCGAAATTTCAATTACTATGCCGATGATTCCGACCATGCCGAGGACACAGATGACAGTGATGGCGAAGAAGCATGTACAAAATCGCTAATGCCAAACGGTGGCAACAATTATCACATGCAAACAAACGCTTGGAATTGGCAGCAACATTCAAATCAGCAACTTAGCCATCATGTATCAGAAGAGGAACCTGGCTATGTGGAAGATGGCGAAGAGGATGATGATGATGAAATAGATGAAGATGATGAAGAGGAAGAAGAGGAGGAAGACGAAGTCAATAATGTAAATAATGTGGGAAGTGGAACGCGCGAAGTTTGTGTCATAGATTATCAGAACTATTTGCAAATGGGTTCGGAAGAAACAAACGGTGGCGCTGATTCCTATATTAACACCTTTGCTGAATCGTATAACTCCCTGTTGTCCACGGCCCAAGTAATCGAGGAAAGTGTACCTTCCACCTCTTTAATAACACCAACGAATTCCAATTCAAACTCCAGTTCGAATTCCTCAAATTGCCAAAGTGTTTCACCACCAAATATGCATGCCATTATTGAGGAACAGCAATTGTATCAGCAGCAGTGTATGTCCGAAGAGGATGGATATTCTTTAACAAAACTGGAAACCAGAAGAGAGCAGCAGTCGTGCAAGTCTCAAGGTTCACCGGTGGATACTTTTAAAATTTTCCATCCCAACAATGTTGATCAACATGCCCAGCACCCAGATATGCAGAATATGACGGTATATAGCACCACCACAACCAATACAGCGGAAAGCTATTATCACCATGCAACGGAGTATTTGCCACAGAAGCCGTTGGAACTGCATTCCTTGTTGCAACAAGAACGAGAAGAAGAACAGCAGGTGGCGTATGAAAGACAACAACTACAAAACCACCAAAACATCAATACCTATGCCTGCCTACAAGCTATACGTCATAACGATGACTCACCTACCACATCCGCCTCGGTTTATGTCAATCAACAGATTTCCAATAATTCAAGTGTGGATGAAAAAGTAATGGATGTTGTAATGGAGACGACAGATGATTTGATAGATGAAGTCGAGGATAGTGTCACTATTACTGTGGAACCTTGTGTACAGATCAATGAGATTTCATCCTCTTCATCGACGGTAGACGATATAATCCAGGAGGTAGATGAGGAGTATGTGGAAACAACGTGTGAAAAACCTGCCGTTATTGAGACAATTGAAAAGATTGAAATTCTTCAGGACAATGAGGTGTACGATGTTTGTAGAAGGCGAATATCGAATGAAGAAGGAGGAATGCCACCAAAAATGTCACCTGAGAAAAGACAATGTTTAACATCCTGCCTCAACACACCAACACCGCCGCCTGCAAGAAATGGCCTGAGAACGGGCCGTTCATTTAACTTTAGCAACTCCAATGTACAAAATGAAAATGTGGAAAGGGTTTCGTTAAGGGGACGAAACAAACATGCTTTCTTCAATTCCCACAGCCAACGAAGAAGTTTGAGTATGACACCGGCGAGCAGCAATGCAAAACCTACATCAGGTCTGTTAATGACACCTCCCACAGCTTCTTCCACGCCCATAATAAGACAGTTGCGCAGCAATAGCAGTAATACACCTATGGATTATGGCAAACGTACCCTACGAACAAGGAATTCATTGGCCAAAGATATGAAAGCCAAATCGTCTATGGTACAGGCATCCCTTAAGTTGCCACACAATACACGTAAATTCCTGCAACGAACTGGAGCGGGTCTAATTGTAAGCAATTCTGTTTTGATGCAGGATCAACACTTGACACCCACAAATCGAAGATCTCTCAATGCAAACAGCAACACATGTAATGCCAATCGCAGTATTAAAACCCGCAACAACAATAGCAGTGCAATGCCTCAGACGCCACACCATCTCAATTTAAGATCTCGCCAAAATGTTGTGACACCCTCGACAGCAGCCCCAGCCACACCAAATATAATTCATCTCAATAACAATTCCTCAATAGAAAGTTTGGTGGGATCACCGCCACCGCCCATTTCAGCATCTACACCTGTGATAAAACGTGCCTCCTCCTCTCTCAGTGATCGTCGTATTAACCTGCGTAGCATACACACACGTAGTTCGTCGCGCATAGATCCGGCGGTACAGGCTACAAATTTCAGTAAAACTACAAGGTCACAGAGTACGGGTACAAGTTTGGCGGCACCACCACCCTCGCCGAAAATGATAAATGCCGCAGCCGCTGTTGCTGCAGCTACCAGGGCGCGATCTCTAATGACACAACAGCGTGCTGCTCAAGCAAATGGTACACAGTCGGTGGTTTCGGCTGTCTTTGGCAAACGAGTTAACCTGCGTAGTGATGGTGTGGTAACAACGTCAGCGGCGACTCCAGCTGTCTTGGCGACAACCACTGCTGCTTCGACGCATCAAACCCTAAGAGGCAGAGTAGTTAAGAAACTTAAACGGTAAATTATGAAAAGAGCAACATGTGCTGAATGGTAGTTTAGAGAAGTGACAAGAGGTTTCTCCACATCATCTGAGGTTTCCAATGAATGAGAATAGCTTTATAGAATATTGTGTATCTGTTTTGAGTTTACGCTTTTCCTATTCTAATTGTAGAAGATGAGATCTGAGGGAATTGTAATTTTCGCTGTAGAATATTACTTCTTTTTTATTATGAACAGTTTAAGTGGTTGTGGAAAAGGATTTTGGATTTCGTTATTTTCTTCAAAAAAAAAAAAAAAAAAAAAAATTGCAAGTAATTGAAATCAAATGACATTCTAAAAATCCCTCTAAACGTTGTTATGCATTTTTGTGGATTTTCTATATTTAGTGGAACTTTTCGAATTTCATTTGAGCTAAGAAAAAAATTGTGAAAAATAATACCAAGAGCTTTTTCCTTACTACTTAAAAATATTAAAATAATTTAAGGAATCTTGAAGCTTTATATCTTAAAATTTTAAAGATAATGAAAAGTTGAGTAGAACTAAACTGAATTTTTGGATTAAAACTTATTAGATTTGAAAAAACAAATACTCCAAACCTAAATTATTCAGAACTTACATCTAGGGAGTTTCATGACAGAAAGTCCGAGTTTTCCGGAGAGAAAAAATGATTGTTTTATGCACTTCCATTTTATCTATAAACCCAGATTTTCTTTCGTCAAACTTCCCGAGTTAGAAATGCATTTAATTCTTTTTCAATAATTTCCAAAAATATATTTTGCTTGGACTCGCTTTGGATATAGACCAGTAGTGGGATTCTGTATTTTTTTGATTTCCGACAAAAATCGATAACTTTGAAACCCAACATTTTGATATATCAAAGAAGTGAACGTTGACAACATTGATGTCCATTGGTAGGTCTTAGCGACTACTTTGATTTCGTCACTAACTTGCCGAAAAATTTCGATTGAAGTTGGGGTTTTGCGATTATTTGCGAACCACATAAGGAAAGATTTAGAAATGAAAAATCCGTAGGATAAGGATATGCTTATTTAAAAATTTTTTTTCTCTTGATAAAATCTTCGAGATTTGGCCATTTAAATAGTTTTTCCAATTAAATCTAAAGCTTTAATCTGTTTTGAACAATTTGAATTTTCAAAATGTATAAAATTTTTTAGATCTTTAGAAATTACAAACCTTTGCAAAAAGGACACTTTTCCCCCTCCTTCCCGATGATTATTCTACAATTATAATAGGAAATCATGACTCAATATTGAATACAAAACAAACTAACTCTACATTTGCAATGAGTTCCAATACCAAAAAAAAAAAAAAAAATATATTGAAAACTCGTTACGAGAATAGATCAAAAAGTAATGATGATAAATGTGTAGTACAAAATAATGAAATTTGAGAAAACAAAAATTGAAATTCATTGTGCATATAATAGTAGTAGTTTCATACTAAAAAAAATCAAGAAAACAAAGTATATATTTCTATAAAATATATGAACAAAAATTATTATTTATATAACAAAGAAATATGAAAGCAGCACCTATTTCTTTTTTTAGATTTAATCTAGTTTTATATTTTATTTCCTTTTGCAATACGTCGATTGTACCAATCAACAACTTTCAGTCTAATATTATTTTAATACAATATTTTCTTTCAATCATAATTCTACAAAAACATTTTGTAGTCTAATTTAAGTTTTTCATCATATATCTTAACAAATTTTTTTTGTATATTCCATTAAAACACTTATTTTAAACAAACAAACATACAAACAAATTATTAATAAAAATTAACTTTTAAGAATATTTTACAATTAACAGTAGTTTTTAGTTATCATTTGTACCAGCAAAACAACTCTGCAACAACAAAAATCAAATCAAAAATGTAAAAGATGCTATAGCTTTTATATCGTATAATTTTATTAATCAAAATACATACATAGCAAAGTTCACTTTTGTTGTTTCTATTTCCATAAGGTTTATATGTAAATAAATTCATGTTTTTTTATTATTTATCCACAAAAAATAGTATTTCTTGTTTTCTCTTTTTAGAAAAATCAAGATTATTTTTTAAAATCTAATTTTAGGTTAGTTTTAATGAGCCATAGAACTTTATTCAAAAGAAAAATGTTCCCCCAAGCTGGGGGACTTTAATATATAACAAATATTAAACAAAGAAAGAAAATAATTAAGAAAATAAATAAAATATTTTTTCAAAAAAAGGAATACTAAGTTAAACTTTTTTGTGTGTTTTTATTTCGAAAGCGCGGGTTTTGAGCAAGGAAAATTGCTGGAATTCATAGGTGTCTGTTAACCCAAAAGTACTGCAAAAGAGAACAGTTGGAGAGAGAAATGTTGACAGTTCTTTGAGTGAGAGTTGTAAATTCTTGCTGGACAAATTTCTTCTTGCAATCACTTGCAACTCTTCTTCTCATTCATCGACATTCAATCAGATATTTTCTATTGTTTGTTTATTTATTTTTGTGCTTTCAATTTGAAAATATTTCTTTTGGAATTAGCAAGACTAATTGTTTTTGGATAACAACTTAACAAAATGTGAAAAACGTAAATAATAATATGTAATAAGAAAATAAAAGACTATTTCCAACATTTTTAGACAAACGCCATTAGCAACACGTTTAAAGGATTTCGGGGAACAACACATCAAATCTATCTTGCTTTTATTGCTCATATTTTTATTTTATTGCTAATTTCCCTTTTATACCCTACGCCACAAGGTGGTCAGGGTATTATGTCTTTGTGCATTTGTTTGTAACAGGCAAAAGGAACTATGGGTTGTTCCTTTTGATGATCTGCATAGAATCACTTTCTGAGTTGATTTATGCATGTCTGTCCGTCTGTCCATGTATTCTTGTGAACAAAATGCAGGTCGCATTTATTATCCGATTGAGATGAAATTTTCCAAACAACATTTGTTTGGCCCAAGGACGAACCCTATTGGAATTGGAGATAATCGGTAAAAATTTAGATATAGCCTTTTATTGTGCACCAAATGTGTAATATCAGCCCGAATAGTATGGAATTTTGCACATACAACCAAGTTAAGCCTGATCGAAATATATATTGTTCATCCGATTTGTATTTTTGTCCTCCGCAGCCGTAATATGCACTCTGTAACAAAAATATTTGGGGAAATATATTAAATGCAGCTCAGAAATACCTTTGCAAAATTTTATCGAGATCGGTTCAGATTTGGATATAGCTCTCATATATATATTTATCTGATTTCAAATTAATTTTGCACCAAATGGGCAACACAAGTCCGAATTTAAAAGATACAAATGCTTCGGCATATTTAGTCCTTTGAATTTTAAATTACAATTATAATCATAGAATGTATGATTAAATTTTCCCATCAAATCTTTTAATTTTTATGTGGAGCTCTACTAAATTAGCAAAGTGGTGTAGGGTATCATAAAATCTGCCCGCCCGACTTTAGGACTTTCTTTACTGGTTATTTATAAAACTTGTAAAATTGGTGGTGCTTTCTTTCTTTTAATTCTTTTAGGGGGGACAAATTGATTGATTGTTGCAAGTTGATTGATTAGTTGCAAGCTTCTGCAGGAATACCGTCTGTTTACTTTTCGTATTTTCCTTGCAAAAGAGAATTAAACTACCTTACTCTCTCCGAAAGATGTTGTTGGACAATTCCTGCTGGAAAAGTAACCAGACACACCTATTTTTAAAACTCACATTAACATTTGTTTTTTGTCATTTTATGCAAAGTTTACCTCATTGGGCAGCAATCATAAGGTATCTGGAGTGAGGTAGGAAACTGTATAAATATCGAGTGGTTCACCTTCTATTGTCGCCCAACACCAATTTAGCCTAATATACAGGGTGAGATGAAAAAAACTGCAACCAACTTTAGACTGCTGTCATTTCAAAGCCAATCGTCCGACAGCTGTTAAAATTATTCCATTGACAGCTCATTATATTGTTTACAAGCGTACAAAAGCATTTTGGTGAGAATTTTCCAGAAAAAAAGTTATTCGTGATGGAATTCAAGCGTGATACTGCGATTTCTTCATATTTGGCTGGAAAACCACAAGTGACTATCGTCAGAGCACTCCAGCATTTAAATGTGAATAAATCTTTTGTGTCTCGTACCATCGCTCGCACAAATGGTTCGAAAAGTTAAGAAGCGACTTGATCGAAATCCGCGTCGCAGTGGCCGAAAAATGGCTCGTGAACGTATCGCAATATTCCATTCGGCAAGTATTGAAAAATGAGCTCGGGATAAATTCAAAAAAGTGCAAGAACTTACAAAATAGACTCAAAAGAGCGAAAGAGTTGATTCGCTTGACCGAAAGTGGTGAACTGCCGAATTTGGTTTTCTCCGATGAGGAAACATTCGTTGTCCTCCAGTTTGTAAAGAAATAAAATGATCGTGTTTACTTGGCAAAGAGGTCAGCTGAAAAAGGGCACTTTCGGTTGGCCACCAGAACTCAAGCGCAAGCGCGGGCCATGTTGATGTTGTGGGCCGCCCTAAAAGCCGATGGTCGCTCTCCGCTCGTATTGATCGACCATGGCATCAGAATAAATGCCGAATATTATCGCGAAAATATTCTGGAGGGTGTTTTAAAGCCTTGGACAAGCAAACATTTTGGCCGCAGACCTTGGACTCAGCACCATCGCACTCAGCACGCACCACCCAAGAATGATTAAAAAATGAGGTTCCTCGCTTCATTTCCAGCTCATAATGGCCACCAAAATATCCGGATATCAACCCGTTGGACTATTGTGTCTGGAGTATTTTGAATAGCAAGGTTGGCCCTAAAAAATACCAAAGTGTCGATCTCCTCAAGCAAGCGCTTCGCCGAAAATGGGCCGAAATACCGCAGAGCAACATTCGGTCAGCGTGTGACGGTTACATTGGCCGTTTGAAGGCCGTAATACGTGCCAAAGGTGACAAATTCGAACAAATCTAAACTTATTCTAAAATTTGATGCAATATCCGACATTTTTTGCTTTCATTCAAAAAAATTTAAAAAGAATTCAAAAATTATGGCTTTTGACATTGTTGCAGTTTTTTTATCTGAACGTCTCCAAAGACTTCGTATTCGCAAAAAAAAAAAAAAAAAAAAAAAACAAAAATGTCAAATTGCAGGACATTTAAGCAAAAACTTAACCCGCTCATTGGTATTATTGTACCATTAATACTATGACGGAGGGTATGAAAACAAACAGTTTAATTTAGCGGAGGGCTACATCAATCATTGGAAAGGCGTAAAACCACCAAAGCATACAAATTAGTGAACGGTCGGACATCCTCCATAATTTAGGAATATAACACTCGGACACATTTACTAGTATTCCAAATAAATTGAAATTCCAGATTGTTTTATACGTTACATGTGGATTTTTTTGGAGAGATGCGTTCATGAACCTGCTGCGACATAACTCTCACAAAATTTTGGTTGAGCGCCAAACAAAATCTATCAAATGTTTTGTCCATTTCTTTCTCTTTCTGGGATGCTTGATATATCGTCAGGTCAGATATTGCATTTGTAGTTCCCCCAGGATGATATTTTATAGGTATAATAGCGATTATGGATTAACAAAAATGTTTTCATAATCTCTTTGTTATGTTTTTTAAACCCTCCACCATTGTATGGAGAGTATATTAAGTTTGTCATTCCGTTTGTAACACCACGAAATATACATTTTAGACCCCACAATATGAAATTCTATGTCGATTTAGTGATGTCCGTCCGTCCGTTGACAAAATTTTACTCAAATGCATATTATGTCTACAGGACTTTTGGTATTGAAAATGGGATATGTAGGTCCACTTTGTGGTATAGCCCCCATATAACGACACCTCCCGATATTCATTATTTTGATGATTTTAGCGTCATTATTTACCGGTATTGTTTCACATTTGGTATTTAAAGTTCATAATGGATACTAAAGTCTAAGACAGAAAATTGTCTGTGCAAGTCCACGTTTTGGTACAGCCCCCATATAATGGTACCTCCCGATATTCGGTATTTTGATGATTTTGGGTACATTATTCACCGGTATTGTTTCAAATTTGGTATTGGATACTACAGTCTATTACTGAAAATTGTCTGTGCAGGTCCACGTCTTCGTATAGCCCCCATATAACGGCATCTCCCTATGTTTAACATTTTGATGATTTTAGCTACATTTCTTACCGATTTTTTTTCAAGTTTCGCATTTAAATATTTTATTGGCTGATGACAGAGCTTGTCTGTGCAGGTCCACGTTATCGTATAATAATCTAATATAACGGTATTTTTTTTTTGAAAATTGCAACATTCGTTCCAAATGGTGGTGGGTATTCAAAGTTCGACCCTGCCGAATGTACAGCTTTTTTTACTTGTTTGTTGCTCTTCCAGTCAAATTTCCATACAAGTTTTTTTAATTTATTCAATATTTGTTGCTCCACCTTACCTTTTTATTGTTCCATGGTATTTCTTATATATCAAAGCCGGAAATTAAATAGTTTTAATTTTCCTGTTGCAAAGTGGTCAGGGTTAAAAACAACGTTTGATTATTAGTGGAGAACGATGGTAACGTTTACCAGGGGGTAAGGTAGGAAATACTTAGGTTTCGGAAAGAGCTACCAATTCTCATCAGTTCCCTTGTTTTTGTCTGTGATATTCTCCCCAGAAGTTATTTAAAAATAACTTCTATGACAAACAAGTAAAAAAGCAGTAAGTTCGGCCGAGACGAACTTTGAATACCCTCCACCATTTGGAACGAATTAAGAAATTTTCAAAAAAATGAAATCCATAAAAAATTCTGTTAAAATCTTAAAAATACCGAATATCGTAAGGTGCCGATATATTGGGGTGATATACAATATTGTGGACCTATATAGACAAATCTACGTCTGGGGGTAAAGTACTCACCTCTTGTGTGGAATTTCAGATAACTCTCGCTATTCGATATTCCGTACCGTTATATGGGGGCTATACGATATCGTTGACCTATATAGACAATTATCTTGCAGGGGGTAAAATATCCACAAGGAACTCCTTGTGTGGATTTTTAGACAATTCCGTTGAAAAATGTGGGTAAAATCACCAAAATACCGAATATCGGGGGGTACCATTATATGGGAGCTATAAGATATCATGGACCTATATAGACAATTGTCATTCAGGGGGTAAAGTGCTCAAAAGGGACTCCTTGTGTAGAATTTCAGAAAATTCCGTTGAAATATGTGGCTAAAATCATCAAAATGT